AGCAGAGCTCCCGAGACACAACCAGACGTGTCTGACTGTTGGGATAAAAGGTGTAGACGCGGTGACAACAGCGGGAGATGCCCCCAGCCTTCCCCTGGCGGGGATTACGGTGCGCACACGGGGACAGCTGGCGTTGGCAGCCGGAGCTTTCCTTCCCGACGCCCGCATCATCACACTCTCTCCTCCGTGCCCACCGGCTCTGGCAGCCATCACTGCCCCGGCCTCGCTCTTCTTCTCGCCGTGTTTTGGTCACAACACCGAGTTTTTCGGGAGGTGGAACAGCAACAAGTTCCTTTTGAGTCTTTACACCGCTCCCATCTCTCCGGGAGTTACACGGGGTGTGTTTGATTTGGGTTGTCTCCGTCTCGGTGGTGCTGCAGCTGGTAACCTCCATGGCCATTTTTCTGATTTATTCATCTGTTGGGTATTTTTTGCCACTGCTTTTCTGGCAGGTTTAAGGCAAACCTGGGAGGAAGATCACCTGGGATGTAAAAGGCGGCTAGGTGTACATATAGCAGTGAAATAAAATATCTGAATGAAGCCCTTTGTCTGCTTTCGGAACAGTATGTTTAGAAAATGTTCTTTCTTCTAACTGGAACACGCAAGTGTAAAACATAGTTCCCTTGCGCAAACTGGCAGAAATGTCTTTTTCTTTTTTTAAATACTAGTAAACATCAAAACTTGAGTTTTCATGATGCAACTATAGCTCTGATGTAATAAAGTGATCTCTCATTTTTCTGTTGATCATCTCAGATATGCAACAAATTTGTATGTTCAGACTTTTGCAGAGATTATTAACTGGATGTGTGTCTCATCTTGATGAAAATTCAAAGAGCAGATGGGATATATTTTTTACTATATTTTCTATTTTCTGATGTTAGATCAGAATCTAGCTTCAAAACTCTCCTTGAAGAATATATGCAAGATACAGTTCTTTTTATTATTATTATTTTAAGCGGCCGCTCTTCCTTTGTTTGAGATTTTTCATAACATTTATCATTAATCATTTTTTCACTCTCGGTACCACTGAGTCAAAGTATCAGGTGTTTTGTGGCACGATTAAAGTATTCATAGGTTGAAATAAATTTGGGGTGATGTAACTGTACAAAGTCCAAACAAAATTAAAAACTGTTCTGTGCCTTTCAGATCTGACTGAAGAGCAGCAACTTTATTCTGAGGACGTGGGAAATTTCAGAATGTGTTTTTTTAAATGGCTTTGTTTCGGATCCTTGCTGAGGGGTTGAGTATTTTATTAGAGTTCTTGAAGGTGCAACTGGCAGAATAGAGGAGATCTGTGCATTGATCCCGTGTTAGCTGCAGTCAGTATCAGTGGGCTGTTGTGACCTGTTCTACTGCAGGAAAAAAAGTAGTTCATTAAATATTTTGTCCCAGTAGTAACTAATTCAGCTAGAAGTAAGCGTTTAAGCATTTATCTTTATTCATGATTGACTTACCACTTTCTGCTTTATTATTTTGTGTTATGTTTGGAACTGTCTGGTTTATGTGTACATCTGCTTGTTCCCTCTTTTCCTTCAGATTTTACTTTCAAATTTTAGCTTTTCATCACCTGTTCTCTTATTAATAATCCATGTCTTAGCTCCCAAACTAATTTGCTTAATGTTTAGCATTTCCGCCCTTGAAAATTCATCTTACCCGTACTCAAAAAGAGCATAATCTTTTTCTACAGTGAATGTTTCCTTTGAGATGTACCTTGTCTTGCCCAAATATTATAGTACAAGATTTATCTAAGGAGGAAACATTGCTCAGCTTGTGTTTTACATTTTGTTTAAGTAGCTTGAAGTCTGTAAAATTTGTAGTCTTTTTTTTATCTTGATTGGTAGTGAATATGTATTTAGAGTTTCCAATTGTAAATTGTTAGATGTTTTTATTAAACACCATTGCAGCAGTCAAATGCTTTAGAATTTTATGTTATATATTACAAAGATACCACTGATGTGGGTTTTTCAAAGGTATATTAGGAAGCAAACCATCTCAACAAACCTCCTACAATTTGTGCTCCGAAATGGTCGAGTGTTGGACAAAAGAGATTCAACCCCCACGTTCAAGTTATTTAAAACCCCTTTAAAAAGAGGGAGGAGAGAGTGAATCTTTCCAGCCAATATTTTATCTGGGTAGCGAATGCACTGTCATGTTCCCCAGTCTGCAAACAGCAGGTGAAGGTGGTGGTGGTGGTCAACAGCGGTGGTGTCTGCCTTGGATGTGAGGGTGACCTCTGCCTTGAGCAGGGGTGGGTTCCCTCCTGCCAGAGCAGCGGATAAAGGCTTCTACCCGACAGAGGGTTGGTTGATGTTGAGTGGCAGTAGAGCAACGGGCGAGTGAAAAATGCAGGTGAAGGAGGAGTTAGTGGGTAAATGTTGTGCTTTCCCCAGTTCATTGAGTTGTTTCGGTTCTGCCAAGCCCCCACCTTGGATACCTACGTCCTTTAGCAGGGACAGGACTTGGGGTTTGTGTTCTGGTTGTCCATCTGTGAAATAGAGACAAATGAACTTTCCTGCTTTGAGAACAGAGTTTGTTGTTGATAAGGAACGATTAATCTTCCTTGCTGTGTGACTGACGGGTCAGTAACTGTTCAGATGCACTATGTTACAAAGCATCTGCTTTTCAGGAAGAAATGAATCCTTAATTTAAAATCACATTTCCTATAGCTAAAACTTTGTCTTGGCTATTGTTTATGACATAATTTTTAGTTGGTGATGCCAAGAAGTCCTTGTAATTTGAACCTTGATGTTTTTATCTGCTATCTGTTCTGTTCCTCGTTCTTCTCTGTTCTTATTCCACCCAAAGCCCTCTCTGCCTGGTGCTGCTCATCACAAATGAATGTAAGGAAAGTTTTAATGGGGTACACATGCAAGTTCATAACAAGTAGCATAACGAGAATGTCATAACTTCCAGCCTTCCGGCTGCGTGCATCCTGAGGAATAGGACACCTTTCCATAGTTTGGTCCTGGCAATGAATAAAACCTGCTTCTTTGAGGATTTAGTCTCTTGAATTTTGAAGTGGTTTATCAGAGTTCAGAGCAAGCCTGTGGTAGGACCCACGTGAGATCCCCCTTTTTGCCAAACCTGTTGTTTAACAACAAGGTGTCTTCCCCTGGTGAGATACAGAGATACGGAAATGTGCTGTTTGGTCAGGAACACCCAAGTGTTGGCAGTCATGGGAGTGTGGGGAGCTCGAGGGGGTGAAGTAGCCCATCCCTCTGCGGTGTCAGCTCTGTGCCACCCTCCTTCTCAATGGGTGCTTATCAATGACTTGAAGTTTGCCAACAGTGAAGTCACTTTTGTCACCCGAAGCAGTACAGTTCATTGCAACCATTACTATCAGATGGCATTTTCTTGATGTGCTTTTAAGCCTCTTGCCTCTAGTTCTGTCACTTTAAGCATGAAGAACAGATTAATTCTTTTCCACTCCAAAAACCTTTTATGTATTTGAAGACTGCTGGTTGCCGGGCCCCAGCCTTCTTTTCAGTGTATACAAGGCAAAATCCTGTAGTGTTTCTCTTACAGGTTACAGTTTTCTAAAGCTGAGTGTTTTCTGCTTTTCCTGCTTTGTTTTTGTTAACTGGCTCCACATCTGTCTTGAAGCACGGTACCCGTGTGGATGCACCAGCTGAGGGCTCAGTAACACTGAGTCCAGAGTAGAAGGGCCACTACGGATATCTCTCAAGCTATTTTTCCAGTTTCCACCTCAGTATGGTGATTGCTTTTTCTAAAAGCACCTGTTGGATTTGGGCTGTGTTAGGTAACGGTGTTGTGTTGGTTGTATCTCTTCTCTCACTCTGCTGGTGTCGGTGGTTTTTCTGCCCTGGGTTTGATCAGCAGACAGTGCCTGCCCAGAACCTCGTGCTTGTTCCTGCTGAGATCAAGTGATTGGTTTTGGAGCCTGGTTGGACTGCCAGAGGTGGCTGGAGAAAATTCAGTTGCTTTGTACAACTTGGGTTTGGTTCCACCTGGGAATATTATCCATTTCCTTATTTTCCAGGTGCTTAGGAAAACTTCTGGAAGAAAAGTTGAACTGATAGGACTGTGATCCTCTCTTCTCCCTTCTTTACTCTCCAGTTAAAAAAACAGGCAGTATGCCTTTTTCAGGCTCTGTACCCTCAGCTGTTCTGCGGGACTCCTCCAAGACAACTGGTAACAGTTCTAAGATTCGTTGTAGGGTTTTGAAATGGCTCTCCTAAGCAAACTCAAGAGCTTGTTTATCTACGTCCTCTTCTAACCTCAATCAAGATTGAGATCTTACCCGTTTAGTGCTGGTAGTAACATTGCTAGCATCTGTGCACAGTTGGCTTTAGTCATGGAAAAGAAGGATTAAACACTTTGTGCTATATTTGTAAGCAGAATAAAATACGTTTTGATTTCCATTTAGAGCAGTCCATGCAATGACAGGTGTCATATTCAGTACCAAGACAATTTTATTCTAAAATGGTTTTAGAGAAGTTGATATTTTTATGTGCCTATTTATGAGTGAAGTCATTAGACTGGAGATGTAGCCAAAAGGTAAAATCTCGATCAGATTTTGCAGTTAATAGCTGCTGGAGTTTCTCAGGTTAGTGGCTTGCTTTTGGTTTGGGTTTGTGAATTAAGGCCTGGGTAGAATTTCAGTAGCTGCTCTGTAAGGCTGTTGGGAAGAAGGTTGACTTCTACAGAACTGGAAGCCTTACTACAGAAGGTGAATTTGCATATGACTCTTATAATCCTGCAAACAGCACTACTGTGAGCTTCCACTGTTCCTGTAAGAAAAGTCACTTGGGTTTGGGGAAGGAGAAAGGAAAGAAGATTCTTGTGGATCAGGGTGGAACTTCTTGCTTGGAAAGACACAGCTCTGTTGAGCAGTCTGTCAGTGAGAATGTAATGGTCATACAAATTCTTGTCATCCAAACAGATGAGGCAAACTCAATGTCGTGGTGAGACATTTACTACAGGAGATCTTTTTGTAGCTTTAGGAAGCAAAATGCTAACTCTCTGTTTTTCCTTTTAGGCATTTTCCATCATAAATATCCTATTCAGAACTAAACCCAAATCTCCACTCTCTGGATCTCCTAAAGGTACAGGAAACTTACTTAAAACGTTAAAGTTTCTTACCTTTTATTTGCATCATATTAAAGAAACCACAGGTTGTGGTAAAACATGATTATCCACAGGAAGTGTCTGCTTTTTGTGTGATCCTCTGGCTTCTATCTGCAACACCTTTGAGAATTACAACACAAAAAAGCCCCAAGAGAACTTTTATCTGAAAATGCTACATTCTTTTTTTCATAGAGGAAGATTTTAATTTCTTTGGCAGAGTGGACTGAGACTGTGTTCACATCTTTGTGCATTTCTTTGCTTGCCTTTTGGTTACCTTAGTGACTTCTGAACTTTGTATTCTAATGTATTCAAAATTTCTGGGAATATTCCAGGCATTGATGCGCCAAAAGAAGATAAAAATCTCAATACTGGAGTGTGGAGTGGTGCTCTGTCATCTGAAAATCCATCTCTCTAAGTTTAGTATTGTCCATAGGTCATTGAATTGTTTGATGGCAGCCGTTACCGTCATGAGGATAAGATTCTAGTGCAACACTACCTCAATAAAATTTAAAATATTAATATCTGAGTTAGCAAAAAGTGTGGAAGGGTGGGAAAGGAACAAATTGTGTGATTAGCTGCTGGCTGAGATGGTAGGAGTAAAACATTTCTTGGTTCACCTATCTTTTGATGTCTGAGTGGTTTTAAGTTCTGGTAGTGCCTTGAGTATTGTACAGGGGTCAGTTACTGTACTCTTATTTGTCTTGAAGAGTTTGACAAAGCTAATCCTTGATTCAGCGGAAAAATCACCTGAAATACTGGCATCTCTTTGTTTCTCTGTTCACTGGAACAGCCTCAATTGTTAGCCTCAATTTTCTGGATTATGCGGCTTTTTCTTGTTAGGATTTTGTAAGCCTGTTGTAGGGTAGAGGGCAAATTACTTCGTAAAAGCACTGTAAACCTTTTATAGGCCCCAAATAACCTGTAATTAAATGTGCAATGATGGACAGTGAGTTCTTATACCCTAGTGAAATACTTCACACAAATCAACTACAGTATTGTAAACTTCACAGGTAGCTGAAAAACCCAAACAAAATTCCAGTTTGTTTTGTCAGACTGTTCTTTGAAGTTGCTTGTCAAAGCATGAGCTAAATGTTTTTAAAAAGAAAACATTATATATATTTGTATATATATACTTGTAAGGTATAATCTTGTGAGTTACTGCTTAATGTCTAAAATTGTCAGAAATTTGTAAAGTGGAATTTCAATAATTCACAAGCTGTTCCTAATGCCTACTTTGCTTTGATTCTGCCTGAATTCAATCTAATGAACTCTGAAGTAATCCTGAATTGGTGATAATTTACAGGATGTAGGTTCAACTTTTGATCTGAATATAAAAACATGAGATTGGTGTATTGGTGAAGGAGAGAGAAACGTGATGATGACGTAGCAATTTATGTAGAAATTATGTAGTAATTTATGTAGAAACAAGCATTGTATTCATTTAGGTTAAAAGGATATATTCATTGGAAAAAATTTATTTTCATTGCAATTCAGTTCTCTCCCTGATAATAAATTTCTGTTCAGCTGTGGCAAAATGCTGGCGTGCCCAGGTACTCAGCTACTTGAACGTCTTGGGGATAAACCTTGAACAGCAGTGTGCTCTACAGGTTTTAGATTTCTATTTCAAGTCAAAATATAGCTTATTGATTCCTTAGAATTTCTTTTTGGTTAGGCATTGCAGCTCTTCCTTTCTCCCCCTTTAGAAACAGTCATGGAAAGGAGCACTTAAATAATCCTGTTGAGTACATCTTCTCTTTCTTGCTAAATTAATGGCTCCAGAAGCCAGGTATCTGTATGGTAATTTTGGTCATCAAATTATGGCTACACGTGCAATTGCAAAGCATTTTGCAAAGAAGGGTGTGTGGGATTGTTACCACCTTACAGATGCAGAAAGTGAGCTGTGCTTAAACTCTCAATCCTTGGTTTCTTGTGAGGCTGGAAGTCTTTTGGGTTCCCAGAAGGTCCTGGGGGGCTGAACTCTTCCAGTCCGTGGGGAGGCTGGGGGAGAGCGAGGTGTGTGGTGAATTCCAGCGAGGTGTGTGTCAGGGGCTTCCCTGGGTCCTTGCTCGTTGGTTTAGATGTGACGGAGCAGCCAGGCCGCCGGAGGAGCTGGGTGATTGGGCTCTGTGCTGAGAATAAGCAGGTTATGAGCTATGGACGTGTCTGCAGCAATTTTTTTGTCTGCTTGTCTAACGTGCGCAGCTGAAGTCTATTCAAAATTGGATCAGTTTCCAAAACCTTATTGTTTCAAGCACTAGGATGTGACCTCAAGTCTCCACATATTTTTGTGAATAACTGCCGAGTTGTCTGTCCTGAATATTATTCTAAGCAGAGGTATTTGAAGAAAAGCTTTTTCAGGCTGAGCACTGATGGCTGTAGCTCTTGGTGGAGAGAGAGCTGGGCAGAGAGCAGTCTGAGCTGCACCGCTGCGAGGTTCTGTAGTAATCTGCCGTAAATATAGACAGTGAACTAATTATATCCTTGTCAGGGACTTCCCTTCTTGGGGAAAAAAACCTACTAGGAATTTGTATACTGTTCTTCCCTGCATTGTAGGACTATAAAAACCACTTTTAACGTGTGTATTTTGGAGCTGAAATTCCATGTTCCCTAAAAGCAGGTGATGGCAAATAAATGGAGGATAGTGCCTTGCTTTGAAAGCAAAGGACTCTGAGGCAGAGTCTTCTGAAGCGAATTTCAGACTTCCTTTGCAGCATGATCTGAAAGATCCTGATGTTACTGACTTCAAATTAAAAACTTTTGGTGTCATTTTCTCAAACTGTGTGGATTAGAAACTGTTTAACTTCAGTTACTTTGAAGGGCATTGCACTTCAACAAGAAAGGAGAAATAGCTTCTTTTTTAATGCACTTCAAGACTTTATAGTCTCTTCCAGGCAATTATTACTGTTGTATTATGTTTGAAAATTTTCAGTGTTTCTGGTGATGCTCCTGGGAATGAAACTTAGTAATTATAAAATTATTACCCTGGAGTCTTATTCTACATACTTTTCATCTTTGTCTTACAACTTCTTGGAGTTCCTTTAGATAGACTCCCTAACAGCATTTTCACGGTTACAGTGCACCCAATGGGTAACTTCTGCAAATTCAGTAGCCAAATATAGGATTTGTTTTGAGTAAAATCTACATATAGGTCATCTGAACTAATTTTGCTCTCTAGTAAAAAGTGAGGTTATCCAACTGGTAGCATGATAAGCCTGACATGTTTATGATGTTTTTTCAAAGTAAAAATATTCCAGATGGTAGATTTGTTCGTGTATCTGTTGTTTCCCAGTAGCATCTTTCTTCTTACGTAATAAATAAATAAGTAAATAATTTTTTGTGTCTGTGACTATATTAACCTAGGTTCTCCTCTTAGGCTTGATTTATCAGTAACTAGCTAAAAACTTCACTCTGACTCATTGCTGCTCCTCCCACATTTGGAAGTCCATTCACAGGTTCAGAATTTGAAGCGTACAGAGCACCACTGGAGTTGTGTTGCTACTAATAGATCCCTGGTGGGATCTGGAGCAGCGATTTCTCCTTTCAATCTATAAATTATGAAAGAATAAACCTTTGTTTGCTGCCCTAATAAAATCTGTAGGTGACCAGTGTATGTGTGCATGTGTGTGTGCCTTTTGTGTGTAAAATGTATTTACTTGGCTGTAAAATTTATTTTTAATAAATAAATTGATACGTGGACCGTAAGCAGATATGGGCAGCTGAGCTCTGGCAGCAATGACAGCCTCAAACTGGCAACCTGTTAGTGTATATTTAGGTTTAACTGTCTGAGCATGAAGATAATGTTGCATCCATGTGTAAGAGAAATCTAATATTAATGTGGAGGAAAGAGCTATCACAATACTTCACATCGACTGTGCAAGTTCATTGCTTGGAGGTGTTTTTTCTTAAATGAGCACGGATGCCCACGAGCGTTTTCAACACTTGTTGACAGTGTTGCAAGGCCAAATAAATAACTCTAAATTGATGCTTGACCTGTGACTGAGGCACGTTCTGACATAAATAGAAGTAACCTTAAAAACACATGTAACCTATAAAGTTTATGAACTCTTATACCTTCACTTTTCCCAGTCACAGCTACTTCGACGTCTTCTGCTGGACACTGGTTGTGTTCCCCTCATAAATGCAAGGCCTTCTCCTTGGTGACCCTGGGGGACAAAGTGTATGATTATAACAAAGGGTGCATGCTCTGAATAGTTGTTTTGTAAAGCCTGCATTTATTGCTTGCCCTCTACAAGTTAAAAACTGTAACTTTGAATGGTAGAATGCATGAAATGTAATCTGTTCATGAAAGTTGCTCTTTGTTTAGTATAGAAGCAGTGGCTATCGGTTTAACTAACTGGATTTGCTTTGTAAGTGGATTCAGTGATGGGAAAAACAGATGGATAGTTACCTTAAATGAACAAACATAAATAAAGCTTCTATACTACTTCTCTTTTATAAATGAAAAAAAATGTGAAATTTAAATGTTAGGGCATATAGATTGAAATATGTTGTTAAAACTGGATGTGTAAGTGAATTATTGCATACCAAATGGAAACAATGGATGCTTGATTGGACACTTTACCCTTTTCCCCTTTTTGTTGACAGAGAAATAATTTAGTTAGAGAATGCTAAATATTTAGTATAATCTTTTTTTCATCTTTACATTTTAGGTCATCAATTCGGCTTCATCACACTTGAGTTTGCCTGCATTCAAAGCTGTTTACCTACAGTAATTTGCTCTGGTTGGAAGTGAACATGTCTCAAGTTCAAATTCAGAATCCTTCTGCGGCCCTTGCAGGGAGTCAAATATTGAATAAAAACCCATCTCTTTCACAGCCTTTGAGTATTCCTTCTACTACTAGTTCTTTGCCCTCTGAAAATGCAGGTAGACCTATCCAAAACTCTGCTTTACCCTCTGCATCAGTTACATCCACCAATGCAGCTGCAGGTAAGATTAACTCTTAAGTGCCTATATTCTTAGTGTTTGTACATTCCTGATGTCTTGCACCTACAAATACTTTAAAAGTACTATTTATCCAGCTACAGTAGCTTGTATAATGCTTTCCCCCCACTGAATGAAATCTGAGACAGATGGAAACAAGTCCTAATAATTAATTGAAATGTCTGTAATGGTAAAGAATATTTAAAACTGTGTACCATCAAATTCTTAAAACATTGCTAGCCATATTTTCTACAACTAGCTTGTTTTAAATAAAAAAAAAAGTTTTTTTTACATAGTTTGTTTAGTTCTATTATCTTTAGTTCTTTTATGACCAGTTTAATGATAAACGTATTGTGCTAATAAAATATAATACAGAGAATAAAAGGTAATAAATAAAAAATAGATAATAGGGAAACGTAGGAGAAGGAAAAAGAAATGAAGGACTTAAAATTATTCAAAGCAGGTGACCATGATGAATACTTAGAAGATTTGTTTCTTGAAGTGCAACTACATCAGATGCAAGCTAAATGCAAGAGTCTAACTTCATACCTTTGGCTTGCATTAAAACATTAAATGAATAATGCTTTATTTTTGGCATGAGCATTGCTTGGAAATCCCAACGTTCAGTAATTTGTTGCTTGTTTGGCTAACGAGTAGAGCTGTCTATTCCAGCAAATCTTTTCTGAAAACTGGTATATTGCAGACAACGAAGTGCTAAGGCAATGAGGTATTTTTTTTATTTTAATTAAGAATTGTAGTCAAGTTCATAGCTACCCATTCATTTATCTGATTTTATGTAATCTTTCAGCTCCTTCAAACATGGCAAACCCCAAAGAGAAGACCCCAATGTGTCTTGTGAATGAGTTAGCCCGTTTCAACAAGATTCAGCCTGAGTATAAGCTTTTGAGTGAGCAAGGTCCAGCTCATTCTAAGGTGAATATACACAGAAGTTTCTTGTTGCTGCTGTTTGTGCTCTTTCATAAATGGAAAGGCAAAGTGTATGCTTTTGGTGCAAGGTAGCACAGAATAATGATAAGGAATGGAAAGCTCCCCAAAGCCCTGATGGCAGGGAATTGTGAAGCTGTTATGTGCGTGCTAAAAAGTTGCTTTCCCAAAGTAAATAAAGGTTGAACTTATTTGTTACCTAAAACTACTTAGGTTATTTGAAGGGTTATTTATGTTAGCTCCATTATGAGATGCTTGGCTTTAACTTTCATTTAATAAACCAAGGTTTATTAAACCTTTATTTGTCCCTTGCAGACTTTGCTAAAAAATTTTGTATTAAATATGGATAATCTTTTTGCATTCACTTTCTAGGATGTTGTTAAGCTTTTGTTCTACATCTTGCCTATTCTTTAAATTTTCTGGGTTCTTCCTGTGGTACATTTTAATATTTTGAAATTGATTCACCAACTTTAAAAGATGAAAATAGTTTCTTAGTTCAAATTATCACATGAGATGCAGGAAGATTTATGGCAATCGTGTTTCTTTAGGAAAAATACTACATAAGGGGTTGTAGTTGGTGAAGTACAAATCTATATTTGTTTATATGGAATAAGTTTTACTACTTAATTTAAGAGTTCTCTCTTTTGCACATTGTAACAGAATGTTACTTTGCTCTGTTTTGGTTGTAAATAAAATGAACCTTTCTATCCTAATTGCCCAATATTTGGAAAACAAGGATCTTGGTATATGTTCTTTAATGGTTGAAGTCCAGTATGATTGGAGGGCACTAAACATTCGCCTGTTCTGGAACAGTTATTTCGGCAAAGAATCCTTAGTTCTTCAGAGTGGGAATATAGAAACAGTGAGGGCAGAGCAGCACGAGGTGTGCATCCCATGGCATGGCATGTCTTTTACAATAAGTCTCAGCAATACACAATTCCTTTGGTGTTCTGTTTGTATGGAGAGAGAGAGTTTTTCAGGAATACAGCAAACATACAAGCAGTTATTGCAAAGAACACGGAAGAAGGGAGTTCTAGCATTGTGAAACCTCATTGAAGATCTCTGTTGTATGAGGACTGAAGTCAAGGCTGAGATGTGTCTATTTAATCTGACATCGTGTCCTTAAGGGTTTTCCTGGAAAAGTGTTTGTTGTATGTTACAGGAATTGCCTTAGAATTGAATAATATTTAGAACTAAAATCTTTTGTCCAAAATACGTGTAATGTCAGCTTCAATGTGCAAAGGAGGCAAGGTTTGCATTTACAAAAAGTATTAGAATAGCATTCAGAGCATGTGTTCACTTGTGTTTTCATTCTGATTGAAATTAAACTTCATTTAATTACCAGGGAGATGTTGGCTTGCTGTTGTCTGATTAATTTGTGAAAATTTAGGACAATGTATATCCTTCCTTATCCCACATACTTAAAAAGAAGTGTGACAGAGCTTTGCTCTATAACCAAATAGGCTTGTGCTCACCTGTGGCCATGGAGAAGCTTTTATGGTGCAATGTGAACTTACCTTTCTACCTTTCTTCAAACTGCTGGAAAGTATCATTGAAAAAAACCCACAGTATTAAAGAATTATGGGGGGTAAAAGTCTGCATTTCAAGGTTACTGTTCAGAGTAATGTTGGCGTATCAGCTAGTCATGTAGCAATAACCTCTACACACATGGTGTCTTTTGTTTTTTCACCTATATGATCTCATGCAGGGTAGCTGCTAGCTACAATTACTGTGAAATTCTTAGTTCAGTAATCGGGGAAATCCTATCAGTGTCCAAAGTGTTTAAAATCTGGAGATAACACGGTAGTTGAGGAAAGCTTTGATTACTGTATTCTCAACTTTTGCATCACTAAAAGACTCATTGTTTTGCATAAGAGGGTCTAATAAATTACATGAATTCTGAAGTAGCTCATAATAAAATTAATGTTTTCAATTTTTGAGGTGTTTACAGTGCAACTGACTCTTGGGGACCAGCACTGGGAAGCTGAAGGAACTAGTATTAAAAAAGCGCAACATGCAGCAGCTGCCAAAGCTTTGGAAGGGACAAAATTCCCTAAACCTACGGCTCGTCCATCGCGTAGTGAAGGCAAGAATCCAGGTATACGTCACAACAAACTGATTTTAAAAAACAATTGTAGAACACACCTTTCTGGTTTTGGTATGTATAAGTTGCATAAGGATGAATAAAAATAGTGACACTGCATATTTAACAATGGCAATTGTCAGGTTTTGTGAGAACATGATCTTGATTTAGTCTTTGATTGTTGTAGGTGATGTGATAAAAATAATCATATTAAGAAGTTAAAAGTGTAGGGTTTTTCCATTAAGTCATTCAGGCTTGAAGAACCCACTGCTTAACTTACTGGTTTGTATTGTAACACTTGGTAGAATCCTGGAAAAAATGTTTATCCTAATCTGAAGAAAAAAAAAAAAAAAAGAAAAGAAAACTAAGTTAAAAAAAAAATCTAATTTACAAACTAGCTTCACAGCTCAGCTGCACATGATTGTTTTGCGTGTACTCTTGGTCACTTGAATTTAAAGCTATTGGAGCAGCATTAGTATGTTCAGCAAAGGTTAAAAGTTATCTTTTGTGCCAGTTGTATTCTGATATCGCCTAAATTCTTTCTTTAGAAACACTTCCTACAGTCAACAGTGAAACTATTAGAAGCTAGCAAGTACTGATTGTCTGCAAATCTGTTCCATAATTTCCTTTTTCTTTTGGCAATTGCCATATAAAAAAAATACCTTGTACGAGATTACACACTGATTTTTGAGCCAGTGAGGCTTGTGATAGAAAAGTTGACCACTTACGTGAGTGTTCTTTCTCAAATCAGAGCAGTCAGGGAGTCCATTCTTCATCCACAGGATATCTGCATTGAGAGAAATGTTTATAGCCCTCAGTAGCAATATACCTTCCTTTTGAAAAGGCAAACTGCGGTTGAAAGTGAAGAGCCATAAACCTCTTCTTAGGTCATTGAGTACAAAGAGAAACATTTGATCATTATCAGTAAACAACAGAAACAGTAGGTATGTAGCATGTCAATTTAATTGAGAAGTATTTTCTGGGGAAGAGACATTTCTGTTCTGCAGACCACATTGTTAGATATGTAAAATAAATTGGTAGCTTCACAAGTTTAAAGAAAAATTAAAAAAAGCCAGACAGCAAATGTACTTTTTTGTAACAGGATTTGTCACAGCTGTACAGGGCTGCTAATTTAATATGCATCATATAGACTTATTTTCTTTGTGTTCATTAGCATTTCTATTCAGAATTCATTCAAGATATTGCAATAGGCAAAACTTGAGCTTATTTTTCCCTGCTTTGAGACAACATGAGAGTTTAGATTGTTTCAGTTCCTTGTGACTCCCTTTACATTCCTTTTTATTTAGACAGTGTAACCCCCACAGTGGAGTTAAATGCACTTTGCATGAAGCTGGGAAAGAAACCTATGTACAAACCCATCGATCCTTACACGGGGATGAGATCCACCTACAGCTATACTATGAGAGGTGGCACTTACCCTCCTCCACGGTATGTATTGTTTAATTTTTTTTTTGGTTTTGCAGCCTCGTATATTTGAACTTCCGCTCTCTTCATCCAGTGCATTGATGCTATCTTCTGAAAACTGGCTAAAAATACAAGGTCCCTTACAGGGATATTCAGCTTGAAACAAAGCCAGGTTATGAAGCAAAAAGTTTTGATAAGTGTACCCCATTAGTATCTGTAATTTGTCTTAAGTATGGGGTTTTTTTTTGATTTAGGGAGGAGCGGAAGGAGAGGAAAAAGGGAACTGAACCAAATGATAAAGCGTTTTTGAGGGCATTCGGATGTAGCCAGTTTCATGAAGTGAACAGCTAAATATTAGCTACATACTTCTTGCATTTCCTTTCTATGTAAAAGCAAAAGTGAAGGAAACAGTTTGATGCTTTCTTGAAAGCTATTTAAATTAAAGTTTCAGTTTAAAGAATTGGATATAGGCATAAGAATCGGGAATTCAAAATAGACTTGGCAGGCCAGTATATAAAAGTGTAGTAACATTGTCTTTCTCTGTTCTACTTGGTTAGAACTGTGTTCGTATTGTAAAACAGAAACCTTGATACTCTTGTTTCTAAGGTTTCTCTCGAAAAATCCTTTAGACCTTAAATCAAAAATTGGCTTTTTAATACTAGTGCTTCAGTGCTATATCATGGTTACTGATATCCAAGAGATTCATCTATGTATAACTCACATTTCTGTTTATTTTGTAGACCAAACTATTACCTTATTTAACTCTCTCTCTCTGCAGGTACTTTTACCCATTTCCTGTTGGGCCCTTACTTTACCAAGTCGAGCTGTCAATTGGAGGGCAGCAGTTTCATGGGAAAGGAAGAACAAGGCAAGCTGCTAAGCACGATGCAGCTGCTAAAGCACTGAAAGTTCTGCAGAATGAGCCCTTGCCTGAGAAACCAGAGGTGGGAATTAATCCTGGTGGTGTAAGCGTAAATTGCTAAGATAAACTGAGATATTGTTGTAGATTTTTCCCTTATTGAGAGGAATATGACAGTTAGGAAATCTAATTCTGTGTAGTGGTGTTGACCTACTTGTGTCAATAGAAACACTTTGATTTAAAAACATAAATTTCTATGGAGCTAGAGTATTCACAAATGAAGTTATATTAATTCTTTTGCTGTGGTATTTTTCCACAGCAATGCCTCTGTCAGGTATGAGCACTGGAGGCATAGATAGGAACTAATATCTTATCAGGTATAGATCATATACAAACTTCTGAAGAAGTGTGTAAATGGGGTACTTGTATTCTAGTATGGACAACACAGAAATCAGACATGTGTTTTCTTCCTGGGCAAAATTTCTGCATGATTTTGTAAAGAAACATAGAAGTTCTAGAAGAGCAGTCCATGGAAATAGTAAACTCATACGTACATTTTGAGATGAACATAAGCAAATTTTTATCCCTCCATATATGTATGGCTGCCCAGCACTTTCCATTCCAAGACCCTGTTATTGGTTATTTTTTCATGCTTTCTTGCTAAGTTGCTTTAGGCAGAAAAAGTGCATTGTGTGGACACAAGTCACTCATAGCTTCTGGGGCTGGTTGATTGCGTGCACCCTCCCCATATTAGGTGTTGTCTGTCTGCTTTGGCCAAAGACTGCTACAATGAGTGCATTAGTCCTTCCTATATGGGCTCATTATACCTATCTGAGTTATGAGGGCTTGATGTTAGAACTAAAAGCAGGAGATCATTGATGTACTCCATCCTGGCATCTAGATCGTGTTGAGGAGGAGGCCATGCAATACAGACCTAGAAGAAGAGAGACTAGGAAGAGCAAGAGGACTGAGAAAATGTGTTGTGAAGCTAAGGGGGACATTGAGTGAAAACTTCCCAGTGTGCTTGTGGGAGAGAGCATTGCTCGGATAATTAGGCAAACCTGCTGGATCCGATGGTTCAGGGAAGAGGCCTAGAAGGCGCTGGTGGTAGTGGTTCATGTAACAGAAAGCTCTCCTGGAGGAATGTACGTTATTGAATGATGGAGGCTACTAAAAGTCAAGGCATTGCAAATGCTATCAGGGAGAAGAGAGTGATGCTGGGAATAGAAGCTGAAGGAGCGGAGATGAATTCTGCACTGAAATGTAGTGATAGGCAGAGTGTGGTCAGGGACAAGCTGGAGGTCCTCAGGCAGGAGATGTCAAGCCTGAGGGGGATGCTCCCCTTCAGTGCGGGGGAACCCCAAATTCCTGTGTATTGTTCTGTGTCAGTGATACATAACATCCTCTTCTCACCCTCACTCACCCTCATAAAAGGTAACCGACCGTCATTAGCTGTTTTTCCACCTCATGTAGCAACGTTCTGTGTACTGGACCCAAGGAGTCCAACTCTGCAGAAAGTAACAGGATCACGTGTAACTTACTATTTTTCTGTTCACTTTTTCAGAAATGCTTCTGTACAAATGACTTTCTGAATATTTGTAGGGTTGTGTTTAAAGTTGAGTAACATGAGGTCTTCAGAACAAACACTGCAATTGTCTTTACATGACCACATATCCTTTTCTATAGGATGTCTCATTCAGTGTAAGGGGTGTAATGGAAGTAAACCTGCAGTGTCTCTCTTTTTTTTTTTTTTTTAAGGACTTGATAAGGGAAATCCTATTGTGAATGATGCAAGAAGGGAGAATTATTCTATGAATAAAGCAGTTGCAAGCTCACTAGGAGCTGAATGCTGTCTTGACCCTGCTATACATATGCTGGGCAAGTCACTTAAACTTTCACATGCATTTGTAATTTTATTTTTCTATTTATGTTTGACATGATGAACAGTAAGAACAGTAAGAAATGCAGCTATGCTTAAGGAAAACAATCCTTTGAATAGAGAGTACTGTTTTATAATACGTAATCAAAGAATTCAGTTCTTAATTTAAAGTGTGGTACTTAAATGCTTTGTGGCTTTCAAATGTAGTTTTAGGAAGGTCTGAAGGAATTGCTGTTTTTGTAACAGCATTTTGAACTAGACAAGATGAAAATGCCCAGAGAAGCTGTGGATGCCCCATTCCTGGAGATGTTCAAGGCCAGGCTGGATGGGGTTTTGAGCAACATGGTCTAGTGGGAGGTGTTTCTGCCCAGGCAGAGGGGTAAAATTGATGATCTTTAAGTTCCCTTCCAACCCAAACCATTCAATGATTCTATAAGATAAAATAAGGAATATGTTACCATTAAGTGAGCACTGTTCATTCTTGCTTTCAGTGAGGCAAGGTCCGTAAAGGATATGGTAGTGTAAGATTGTAAGCAATGCTATTATAATGAGTGTATACAATGGAGGCAAATTAAGATTTCACAAGCAGAGATAATTCCTGCCTGTCATTTGATGTTGCCACTAATTTTCCATTTAAATGTAGTTATTTTTGTGTATCCCATTCATGTGTGTATAAACAGAATATGCTTAAGCTTGAACTAGAGGTTTTTTTGGAAAGGGGAATAATTTTGTAATTTTTTTTTTTCATTTTACAAATTTTTGTATTTGCAGGATTTTATTCTTGTATATTTAAATTAGAAAATAATCAGTGCTTGAAAGGAAATAATTTAATAAAATGATTAGACTTTAAGGGTAAGAATTGCCATTTCCCACACCTTCTCAGACTGCAAATCTAGAAGCAAGTGGCAGGAAAAAAAAAATTAATAATATTAGCTCTCAACTGGACAAGACCCTGCCTGAATGACCCGATTTAATTTTAAAATCTGCTCTGCTTTGAGTGGGAGGCTGTAGTAGGAAACCTCCAAAGGACCCTCCCAACCTAAATTAGTGTGGAGTTAAGACAGACCAACAAAGCTGCAGTACTTTGCATATGCAAAGACAGAGATGATAAAGCATCAATTTAAACTTAGCAAGAATAGAAAGCTATGCTTTCTAGCACTATTGTTAAACAGAAATTCTAACTTTTGCTTGAAAATACTGAAACCAGAATTGCTTCTATGTATTTTGCCAACTTATTTGGTAAATATCAGCTGTTCTTTATATCCTTAGCGTGGAAGAAACAGTCAGACAAATAGCTGTGTTGAAATCAATGTAGTTCTAATCAGCAGCTCCACCAGTTTTCATAATTTGCTTAAAGCAGTCTTTGAGGAAGTGCGTGTTGAAAGAGTTCCTAGAGAAGGGTGAATACAGCAAACAATTCCATGCTATTTATTTGTATTCTCTTGAACGGGTATTAAATAGGAAAAATCTAATCCAATAAATAGAAGTCCTGATTACCTTTTCAAGGAAAAATGTCTGAATTTGAAAAACTAGAATATATCTGAAATAACAAGGAGGGGAAAAAATACTTGTAATTAAAGTGATTGCGCTAATGTTTTGACAGTAAAGGTAGTAACAGATTTTTCCTAGGGATGCTGGTAGTAAACTTGCTGTAATACCTAGAGTGTAATGAAAAAAGACCTTAGTAGTTAAATACTTTTTTTTCTGGGTATATGTTGCTATTGCTTTTGGACTTATCAATTGCATTTGAAATAGGTTTTAGAATATGATGATCAAGACTTTTGAGCTGGGTATATGTTGCTATCGCTTTTGGGCTTACCAATTGCATTTGAAATAAGTTTTAGAATATGATGATCAAGACTTTTGAGTTCTGTATTCAATCTTGGTTTTGCCAGTTTTTACCTGGGTTGTGCCTTCTGCTGAGGTACAGCATGGTTCCTCCACTGTAGGTGTTGAGGTGTTGCCTCCTCTATGGTCATGCCCTCTGATGCACAGTGCATCTACCTGGATCCTGTGGGAGTGGTGCCATCATGTGGTCTTAGTGTTCGCGGAGCTGAGGATTGCTCGATGCACATCTCCATGTAGGGATCAGAAGTATCAGATGTTATCATTATATGGAGCAGAAGATTGCTCGATGCACATCTCCGTGTAGAGGTTGGGGACTGGAAGTAGTAGTGGGATCAGAAGTATCAGATGTTATCATTATAAAAGGCTGTTGGTCTATATGTGCTCTTCTGAAATGTCTGCAGCTTGAACCTGAAGTACATAAGAACAGTGTGAAATCTGATGGGACAGTGGGAAGAGTGAAAACCACAGATTAATTTTACTAGTAATTTTTTCTGTGGTGGGAAGAGGCTGCTTTAAGTGGTGGAAAAAAAATACTTCATGTTTTACTTATTAGTCTCAGACACTGGGGATGCTTGCTACCATCAAAACTAGTTTTAATCAATGAGAGCTCTCTAGCATATTTCTGCTGCTCCAATAAAATATTTAAATCATTTTTGTTACCTGGTTGCATAACTAGTACTGTGGCATGATATAATTGGTGAAATTGTTGCTGTTCATCTTTATCATAATCTTTCCAATATCACTGCTGGACACTTAGTCTTAAAATGTCTCTGTTACTGTTACCATGCCTCTTAGTTCATGTTGATCCCAACATCAGTGAAGACATTTTTGGAATCACAATCAAAATTTTACCTGGAGATACGTAGAAGTGCCTGTAGGTAAGCTTCACCTGGCACTGCTGTCCTCCTACCAGGTGTAAGTTCTCAGAGATGTACACCACTTGATTTAAGGCAAGTTCCTGACAGTATGTTCTCCAGATGAGAAAAAGATATGTAGATGAAGCACTTACAAATGAGCATGTTAAAAGACAGGACTATGCCAGGGTCTAATTAGCCATCCTATATTCACATTGGTCCCATTCTCAGAATCTTTATTTTTTCTGCCCTTTCTCTTATCTGATACTGTCTTAGTGCTTTTGGTATGAATGTCCAATCAGTATATGAAAACTGTATTTCATAAAGGTACTTCCATTTGGAAATCACTTCATTTAACACTTCACTTTGTTTTTCTATAAATAGATTTTTAAACTTATTGGCCCTTATTCCATTTGTTCTTTCCTGTAACGAGCAGATGAAAATATGAAGGTTTGCTAGCTTTTACACATACACCTTAAATGAGCTTAAGTTTCAGTTCTGTAGTATGTGTGCTGCATTTCTACACATTCACGTAAAATGGCACTAAAGATTAGACTACTTAAAATTTTGAGAGTTCAGTAAACTGGTTGGATGGATAAAATTCAATTTAATAGGATCTTTATTTTAAATAGAGTATGCTTTTTTTAGGTTAACGGAAAAGAACCAGATGATGAAAATCTCAATAAATCTGAAATAAGCCAAGTTTTTGAGATTGCACTTAAAAGGAACTTGCCTGTGAATTTTGAGGTATGTTTATTTTACAAGCTCTAGATTTGTTTTTATTAGAATATTAAGGGTACACATTAAGTTGAGTCTATTCTAGATAACCCAAACAACTGACTTTTAACATGTCTCGTTAGTTGTGAATACACTTTTACCTTTGACAGTCACCCTGACTGTCTTGGAGTTTATATGGTAAAGTGAAGAAAAAAGAAAAATCCACCTGTTCACAAATTTATGCACTAAAATCATGAGTGAACAGCTACGTTGTGGTTGTCTGTGCAATCTTTTTTCCAGTCTTTTTGAAAACACCAACCCCACATTAATGGTTAGAACATTAAAGTGCAGAGTCGAGACAAAGAGTATAGCTCACTCTGAAAGACATTTATGGAAGTATTTGCTTAATTAAGCACTGATGTGGACTACCCGCATGTTGCAGAATCTCACAAATAGGTTTCTTTTCTTGCCATGAGGTGACCTCATGTGCATCTTACTTTCCTTTCCTGGCCTGGCTGCTTGCTGCCTCTTTGCCCCTCCCTGATCATTTTAGTTACCTTAAATCAATAGCTTCCATAGGAGCATCTCTGTTTCACTAAATTATTAATTTATCATGCTGCTTTCCTGAGCTGGCAGAGCAATGTTTAAGTCAACTATCTGAATTATAATAGTAAGAAAACACAATTGTGTGTAACTAAATTGCTTGTGAAGCTATGCTTTCAATTATTGCAGATTAGCCTGAGCATCACTGGTAAAAATATACTGTCACACAAAGCCAGTTGTGGGTGGAAGTTCTTAATTCATTCTTACTTTTTTACTTTATGGATATTTTGAAGTACGATGTATTATGAATGGAGTTAAAAGACTAAATCTGTAGTAGACAGCTATCTCTTAGGTGTCTCCAGAATTCTTGATTTCTGAACTAAAATGCTGGATCCTAAAGAATTTATTTCTCTGTAATGTTCTATTATTGTAACATGATATATTTAATGAGGTGATGATAACTGTGTGGAAGTATGCACTGATGAAATAAACCAGTCATATTTTAATATTGAAAGAATTAATCAGTAAATTGACTAAGATGGGTTAATGACTTGCATGTAATTAATGTTTACTGCTTGCTGCATTTGATCTTTTTAAAATATATGTTTATTTGGGTGGGATTATGTTATTTAGAGTGGCTATGATTTATATCTATATTTTCTGGATTGTATAAGAATCTAAAATCTCTTTATCCATAGTTCTTGAGAGATGTTTGCTATAAACAATGTGCCCTACCATTTTTAATAAGTGTTTATCACGCTTTCACTCAGTTTTTCCCTCTGAAACAGGTGACCAAGGAAAGTGGTCCTCCCCATATGAAGAGCTTTGTAACCAAGGTGTCAGTTGGAGAATTCATGGGTGAAGGTGAAGGAAAGAGCAAGAAGATCTCAAAGAAAAATGCTGCAATAGCAGTCCTAGAAGAACTGAAAAAATTACCACCCCTTCCTACGGTTGAGAAAATGAAGCCACGAATCAAAAAGAAAACAAAATCAATAGTGAAGGTAAGAGACAAACAGGTTGGAAATCTGACTGTTATAAATAATCATCAGATGAGAGGTGTTTCTGAGTTAATTATAAACACTCTTCAACTGCTCAGCCTTTCTCAGCAGTCTGATACTGCAAATCAAATGTTATTTTGCTCCCACTCTAAATGGGGTTCTGACACCACTTTTACAATAGTTATCAGTAAATTCAGGATGAAAGAGAAACCTTATAAAAGAATGAGTGGCACATAAAAATTAAGCTCTGAATTTCAAGCCTTAGCCTTTACAGCTTTGGGTTTTGCATGACTCTGCTTGTGCAAATTCTCCTGCAAGCCTGCCCCTCCTCATTTAGCAGGATTAGGATTTGTAAACTGTTACCAGTGGTAGGTTCTATGTGGTCAACCCTGACAGCAAAGAGGAATAAATTGAGTGTTTCTCTTTGGCTGTGACAGTATTTCATTAAGGAACTTTTGTTTCCGTGTTTTTAAGTTCTAGAGATGCATGAATTCAGTGGCATGCTGCATTTTGTCTATTAAACCAAATATTCACAAATTTTGGCTTATTTCCTAAACATTGTTCTACATAGCTGCAGACAAGTCCAGAATACGGCCAAGGAATGAATCCCATTAGCAGACTTGCCCAGATACAGCAGGCCAAGAAAGAGAAGGAACCAGAGTACATGCTCATCACAGAACGTGGTCTTCCAAGGCGCAGGGAGTTTGTTATGCAGGTTTGTATGTTAATTTGAGAAATTCAGTTGCATGTCTGTAATGTCTTTTTTTTTTTTTTTTTTTTGTTTTTTTGTTAATAAATTGGATAGTAAACAGTTCATGGGGACCACACACAAATACTACGACAGAAGAGCTGTTATATTAAGTCTGTTGATTGGAGTCGATATTTAGCCCACTGGTAACGGAGGAAGGAGTTTTACGACATGCTGGAGCAGCGTACTGAAGGGGAGCCCATCTGATTTTTTTTTTTTTTTTTTTTTTTTTTTGGTCTTATGGTAATCAAGGTGTCACAAATTTAACAGGATTACATCCAAATTTCCATGAGATTTATTAAGAAAATATCTAGTGGGCTACATTCAAGGAAGATAAAGGTTTAAGAGAAGTGATCTGAATCATGGTTTGTTTGTTGTTGTTTTTTTTTTAATTGTATAGGGCATCAGAAGTCTATGTTGTAGCTGCCTAATGTTTTAATTAACAGAAATATTAATATTCTGTTAAGAGATACTAAGCTGCTTACATTTTGTAATGTAAGATTTAGTAACAGGAACCTGGGTATCCTTCATTCCCTCCTTTTCTTGAGTTTTTGTGTGTTGCTATAGAGCTCAGCACTTTCTACACTCTGCATTGCAAATCCCAATAGCACAGCAGTATTTTTAATACTTAGTATCTAGTAGCCTCTGATACTTAAGTGCATTCTCCAGACCTCTCTCCTATCCTGGCCAATTCAGGAAAGCTAGTTCCTTGCTTTCCATTATGTTAGTAAATCTGCTACTTCAGCTTGGAAAACCTGTATCTGCTGTGGTACCAGTTTTGAGCGCTTAGGCTGGTGCCAAGGTGAGATGATGAAATATAGTTGTTTGTGTGACTTCTGTTTGGGTTTTTTGTGCTTGGAGGCCAATGATCATTGATAATAAATGCCAACTTGCTTAGAATAATGATCAGTTGAACTGTTTTGTGACTCATGGCATGCTCGAGACACAGGTCACTAGTGAGTGTATACTCATACAACTGTTTAAGAATTGGTTTGGTTTTTTGTCCTTTTTTATCCAGGTGAAAGTTGGTGTACACACAGCTGAAGGAATGGGCACGAACAAAAAAGTTGCTAAACGCAATGCAGCTGAAAATATGTTGGAAATTTTAGGTTTCAAAGTCCCTCAACCTCAACCTCCAAAGCCAGCATTAAAGACAGAAGAGAAGGTAAGAGGTTCTAACAATCGGCCGCTGTTTAATACTACAGCAGAAGTTGAATTGAAACAATAGCAGCTTTGCAAGGCAGCAACAGTGTAGTAAATTCACCTGTTCTGCACTAGCCAGGAAGCAGTTGTATTGAGGTGACTGTTCTCTAAAAAATAGTGCATTTTGGACACATTAAGGGTTCAATTTTGCAAGTAAATCAAAGCCTCATCAGAAGGCTAAATGCAGGTATTTCTTTATAGAATGGCCCAGAATCTGTGATAACTGATGTATTGGTCTGAGAAACTTGCAGACATGTAGGTTATAGGACTCTGGTAGCAGTAGTTTTACGTAGCCTTATCGCCAGTTGCAGTAGAAAGTTTGTTACTGGCGTCTTTCTTTGGCAGGTCCTTTAGCAGGGAAGGAGCCTTGCAGTCTCCTATTGATTCCACAGATGTTACCAGGGAGTTAAAATAGCAAATCTGGTTTTAGATTTCTCCTTTTCACATGCATGCTCATTTGTGTCCAATGTGTTGTCCTCAGCAATACCAATAACTAATGTTAGTTTAACTGGCTTTCCTGTGGTATCTAGTTCTCAAAATATGTGTTCTTAATACCACTTCACTGGTCTATAGATCATTTTAGTCATTCAGTGAATAAGAATCACTGAACTTGTCTCTTCTGGGTAGCTATCTAATAATTGAGGGTTTTGAATAATAAAATTTTTCAGTAAGATTTTGACTAGTCAGATTGCCTACATCTTTAAAACTTGGGAGGAAAAAGAGTTTTAAAGAGATACTTTGTGTTTGGCTTTTTTCCTTTTATTTTTAAGACACCAGTGAAGAAAACAGGTGATGGAAGAAAAGTAACCTTCTTTGAGCCAGGCTCTGAAGAGACTTCAACTAGTAAGTAGCCTTACTGAAAGAAGCGTGGCCCTGATGGCCTGTGAAAGATGTGTTTTCAGTCCCTTCAATAGTGTCATTTAACACATGGCAATGAGCAAAGGTGTGTAACTGCTGCAAACAGTCTACCCATTGGGAAGGTTTTGTTCAGATCTCAAAGAGATTATTCCTCCCAAGCCATGCAGTATTCAGCTTGCTTGGCCACCAGCTGGGTGGAGTCGATGGCCACACCAAGGGCGTGTTTGTGCTAAAGAGTCGGTGGAGCAGTTTGTGGAGGTGCAGCTACTGCTGTTTGCAGTGTCTGGGCTTGCCTTACCTCGATCTGAGGGATCTTGGAACAGGCTTCAATCTGTGTCTAGGGCTTTCTAGGACAAGAAAGAACCGAGCTTTGTTCTGATCCAGGGACCAGGCTTCTTAAAACAACAGGAGTGAAGTGAGGGCAATTTCTGTGGAGGAAACGGTAAGGGGAGGAGGACAGATCATCCTTTCTGGCTCAGCAGAATGTTTCTTGGGTATAGGGTGCAAATGAGGATGGGAGCAGATTCCCTGGAAAAGGCTTGGGGTTTCTGCCACCTGGGAATAGCCTTCTGGATTTGAAGAATGGTTGCAGGTTGGAAGACTGTCCCAGAAATGTCACTCTAAGCCTGAGGCAGAGTAGCAATGGGAGGGTGGTGCTGAATTTGTTGAGGCAGGGTTAGTTAAGTTTGGCCATGTCACCTTACAGACGTTGAGGGAATAACTGCAGTATGTTGAAGACTGTTCCTGGCATGAAGGTGAGAAAGGGTGTCAGTACTGTGAAACTGGTCTTCCTAAAGCAGAGTTGGAGAAGGAAGGAATGGCCTTGTAGTTCAGAACAACCTCTTCATCTGTGCTTGGTTTCTAATGACTGAGAGCAAGGAACTGTGCCTGCATTTATTTCAGACAGCTGATGGTTATAGTGGTCACATCCACAGAAGATTGGTTGGAACAAAAAAAAACCCAAATCTGGCCACCAACTACACAGGCGTTGGCATTCTCTAATGTAAACTGTTGGGAGGAGTCCTTATGGAAAGTTTGTCTGTTGCAGTGTATCTGTTCTGTGTAGTACGTTTCAGGTGCTTTATGTATTTCAGTATAGTTTTGTTGTTTAAATTATAAATAGTTGGAATTGACTTGGATTTTGGTAATGTTTTACTGCATCCATAAGATCTTAGCTAAACTTCCTGGCTTCCTATTCAAACTTTGCCACCCCTGCTTTCTTCCATCTACAAATTTTGACTTTCATCCTTAGACCTGAAAGAGCACAGTCCTGCTGAACTCCATTTATCTGTTCGGCCACAGTACTGACTCCTCTATTTATTTCAGTGACACATTCTTCCCCATGTTTCTTGAGCACACCTCTGTTGTTTTCCTCCACAGTCCTGTGTGAGTTCCCCGAAAAAGCTGTTCTTAATCCCTCTTAAATCTAACTTAAGCCATAACGTCAATAAATTGCTATTAATTGACTGTGGCTGGATATTCTTGCTTTTTCATGCTGTGCTAACATTACATTTAACCTTACTTCCCTGTTTCCATTTTCACAATATACAGTTTAAACTTTGTGGACTATCTGTCACTCTCTTTACAATATTTAACAGTGGCTCTGGTCATTCTATGGTTTCATTATTTGCTCCTGCAGTTTAAATAAGCAAATAAAAAACTAGTTGCAACCACATTCTAGGTGTATCTTTTGGTTTCATGTCTGAGGCATCTGTAAGCTTCACTGACCTGAAGAAATTGCTCCCAGAGGTAAAGGTTCTCCTTTTGGCAGAAGCAGGTGTTGCACTGAATCATTTATTCAATAAGCAAACTCTGTCTTGATGATGCTAATTCTCTGACCCACCAAAGGCAAATCAAGCTTGCTAAATTTGTTAGTGTTTCAAAAGTAATTTGAAAAAACTTACATTTTTTCCAAAAGTGGCTTCTGATGCCTATATATGCCTTCAAGTGCCTGCAGAAGGGCTCATAGCAATAACCAGCATCTGTTTAGGATGTACCTCTCTCTTCTCAGGTAATAAAGAAGATGAATTTAGGATGCCTTATCTCAGCCATCAGCAGCTTCCTGCTGGAATTCTTCCCATGGTCCCTGAGGTTGCACAAGCTGTAGGAGCCAATCAAGGACACCACACCAAAGAGTTCAACAGGGCAGCCCCAAATCCTGCCAAGGCTACAGTAACAGCAATGATTGCTAGAGAGCTTTTGTACGGTGGTACTTCTCCTACTGCCGAGACCATTCTGAAGAACAACAATTCATCAGGCCACGTACCCCACGGACCACTTGCTAGGCCCTCTGAGCAGCTGGACTATCTTTCCAATGTTCAAGGAATCCAGGTAAATGTTCAGCTTTCCAAGATTTCTTCCAAAGCTATCCAAACCGGTCCAACCTGCTGTTTGTTCTGAAGCTTTTTAGTTCTGCTGGTGAATGATGTATTCTGAGGCTACTTGTTAAGCTGAAATTAATGGAAATATTTTACTCTACCTATGAAATATACTGAATTTTACAGCTTTTTAAATTTAGTTTTCAAATGTACATTTCTGTACTGCAGCCTCAGCCTTAATTCAGTGCTACTCAGAAGTCTTGGAAGAATAAAACTGAAAGTAACATTTTCTGAAAATTGCCATGATATATGAACATAATATGAAATTGAACTTGGCTGATCTGAAATATTATTTTTTTTTAAATAATCTTTCATATACTAACTTTTGGTGTAAGCTGTACATTTTCTTGTGTTTGGTCCCTTTAATTGCCTATAAGTTCCTATGTTAATATGTTAAAGAAGCTCAGGGGATTAAAAAGTATAATATGGAAAATTTTAAATGCAGATAGCTCTATCAGACCAAAGGTCCCAGCAACAATCATTATTACGTAGCCACTTTTATTCAGAAGGCTTGCAGATTACTAAAGAACATTGCAAGTGAAGTCAGACTTCAAAGTAAATGGTTCTACTGGGTGACAGAATGATTGAAAGTAAGGTTCAGCTTCATATATAGGCAAATACTCTATAGCAGTTGTGATAAATTTCCTGTACTTGGTTAACTGAAAAGAAATAAATTCTTCTCTTTTCTTCAGGTTGAATATAAAGACTTTCCAAAAAATAACAAGAACGAGTTTGTATCTCTCATAAACTGTTCCTCTCAGCCACCACTGATCAGCCATGGAATTGGAAAGGATGTAGAATCTTGCCACGATATGGTATGAAGACTATTGCTGAAATGCTTTCTCTTGGGCCTTCAGTGAGATGAGGGGTGCAGTGGATAGACCAAGGTTTCACATTGCTACTGGAGAGCAATGAACTAAATGCTATACAATTCCCTGGCAATTTCACAGGTTGCTGAAATAATTGATTAATAATATCAGAATCTAATCTAAATAACCTTCAAAATACTTAATAAATGGTCACAATTTTGGTCTACAAAAAATGCATTTGCTTTATCTTGGTATTATTAGTATGAGCATATATAAAAGAAAATGTACAAAAAGGAACTTTTAAAACATAAGAGCATATCAACTTATTTTCTGTAACAGAAAGGGCTGATATTTCATTGGGAACTGTAACACTTGGATTCACGTTACCAGACTTTCTGCTGGAGCAGAATCCAAATTGGAAGAAATGCAACTCACCATTCGATAGCAGGAGACGCTCTAAATCTGTTAAGCTCCCTTTTTAAAAAAGATCTTTTATTCACAGTAGTTGAACTATTTCTTTGTAAAAGTCTTCTAGACTGCAAACTGTAAGGGACTTTGTCTATAAAAGCCATTACGTACTGCTAACAATGTGTACAGGGTCTACTGTAATTTGAAAAGAGTTTAGTTCTTTTGGTCTCCAGTGGTGACCCGAGTACTGACTGTGTACTGAATAGTTTGCAAAATGTAAATATACTTAAGAAAACCTGATTTTACTGTTTTTTTTATACTAAAAAAAAAAAAAAATCTAATGGCTATAGTTTGATACAGATTTCTTTGATCTTTGTCACTTAATTTTGACATTTTCATACCCATCTCTACATCCTGCTGTAAAGAGCTCCTGTAAGACTAAGCACACCAGTCAGTGCAGGAGATAGGAAGGAACAGGACAGCCAGTTCGGAGCTTAAACATTGCGACGGGGCCAACGTGAGAACCGCCCTCTGCTCAGATATTCAGCTTTCAGGAATGCGTGTGCCAGAACTAATCAGGGATATTCTGAAAAGGTGCACCTGAATAAAGTTGAAAAAAAAAAATTCAGTTCTCAAAGGAGGTGACTTACTTTTGCGTTAGCCATGTCACATTGAGTCTTCTTTTAAACAGTCACATGTGCCCTATCCGTGTTGTATTTTTGATTCTTGTGTAACTGTTTTTCTGCAAAGGACTTTTTGGTTCTGTGTATTTTAATGTCTTTTGTCTTAAGCTCTGCACAGTTTGAGCCTTTACTAATTTAGTGTCTTTTTCCTTGATATTAATAGTACTGCTGAATTAATTTTCCCCCACTGCTAAAACAATTGCAATGGGAGTCCCCTAGCCACAGCGCCATTCTGGTGTTTAATGTAGCAAGATGAAATTCTACATCATTGCATTTTTTCCATCATAATTATACATCCTAAAAATCTACCAACAAAATTAGAACATTTACTTTGTTTCAAGTGAGCCCCGGTCCTCTTTTTACTAAATCAATGAAGTGGCCTCAGGTTGAATTGCTGAATGCTCTCTCTTTTCGTCAGGCTGCATTGAATATTTTAAAGTTGCTGTCTGAGTTGGACCAACAAACCACAGAGATGCCACGAACAGGAAATGGACCAATGTCTGTGTGAGTGTGACCCATTGACTTTCCCTTGCACTATTGGAAACCTCTAACCCTAGGAAGTTCTATAAACAAGTAAAATGTGAGGGGTTTTTTCTTTGCCAGAAAAATTAAAATGCGAAGGGCTGTTGTCTTCTTCAGAAGGATGAGAGGGTAGGTTTTATGATCAAGCTTGCAATTTTCATGTATCAAATGCAAATTACTAAGCAGGAGCAAGTGGATAAAATGTAATGACTGTGATACAGAGCAATTCTGACTGTGATCCCACTGCTTATATGATTTATTTACATATATTTGTAAACAGTGTGATTTTTCAGTGTGTTTGTTACAGCTGCTCCTCTCTTTCTAGAAATCTTCTGTATGTAAAAAGTAAACAATGTATAAGTTCCACAACTTGAAATGTGGAGGGGTTCCAAATAACTCCCTTTGACCACAAAAAAAAAATAGTTTAGGCCTCTCATTTAGTTAGTAAGCTGTCAAAATGCTGGAATTAACAAAATGCTAATTGATTAAAAAGGGAGGCCAGTTATATGGAAACAAATTGTTGTAAGCACCTTATTTATGGAAATAGTGTTTTATCTTCTAAGTAACAGGTGTTTTCTCATTTGTAGATGTGTGAAACAAGAAATGGAAAGTGACCCTCTTCTCAAACCGGCTAACTCAAACACTTTGGGACAAACACTGGACAGCACTGCCTAAAAAAAGGCTTTTGACTGGACCCAAACCTGAAAGCACCAGAGAAAATCAAATGCTTCCTATTAATGTAACCTAACTGTTTTAGAGTGCTACAGTCTTTACAACCTACTGTAGTGTCTAAATCATAACCGTTGCTTTTTCTTCAAACAGTGATAAATTTTTAGTTTCATTATGTTGTTTTGATTGAAATGACACTATAAATTTTTCATTTAAAAGTTTCTTAATTGTATCTAGAACAATAGCACAGTTTAGAAACTTTGTCTTCTGAGACTGACATGTTATCTGTGAACTAACTTGGGAAGATCATATCCATGTATGTGGTTATTTTGTTTTTATTGAAATAGCAAAGTTTCACTGGAAACAAATTGTGTGCCCACCATTTTTAAAAGTCCAATATGTTCGCAAACATTAGCTTAATTATCCAACGGTTGAATGAATTAAAACTCTCTAGGAATTTTAAACTTTGTTTGATCATTTTTGGTTAATTTCTAGTTTTCTTGAGTGGGGGGGTAGGGGAACTCGAATGCAACGTGACTTTAAATGATCTTTGATCGATGTTTTAAGGATTGTGTGTATAGATGGCACACAGCTCACTACATTACAGGATATGATCTCAATGTAGTGCATATAAAACTGCAGATTGATTTTCCTTGAGTGCTTTATACTGTTTAATTACATCTCCATGTAGGGCTGAAAAAAATTACCTATGTTTATATATAAACTGTGTTGCTTTTGATGTTGTGTTATTGCGCACTGAACTGTGCGCAATAAAGTTTTTTGCATATGGTCCAGGTAAAGCACGATAGCCTTGCAAGTTAAGTACTGCTTCAGTTCATTGTTTACGCTGGAATTTTTTCTCCCCATGGAATGTAAGTAAAACGTAGTGTTTGTCACCAATAAATGGTAATACTAAATTTTTTTGGTTAATTTATTCTTGTATGCCACTACAGGGGCTGCTTTTTTATAGGATTTGTAATGCTTGTGATATAGTACGGGCAGTATTGTAAAGCTATGGAGTAACTGTACAATGGTTATCAATTACATATAAATAACTACTATTTAGTAATGTGGAGGATGTGAAAACCTGGCAAGGTCAAGGAAATTCAAAAGTAATGTGGGTACATTTTGTTATTTGTGCCACAGTGTGTTAGTGCAACTGTATTAATGGGAGCTTAAACTAAAGTTATGATTATGACAAGAAACCTGGCACAACAGGTTGGTATGATTTTAAAGTTTAAGTCTCTACTTTTAAGTTTCCTTGTTTGCTTGTAATTTGAGTCATAACCTTGCCTTGCACTTAGTAATTTTTGGGGGCTAGTACTTTCAAAACAAAACTTTCCCTCTAGCAACAAAATCTGGCACGGTAGACTGACACATGACAGTGTATCATTTGGATGTGAACTACGTTCAGTGTGTACTTTACTGGTGATCTGTAGCAGCACTTCCTAAACTCCTGTTTGCAGCGCGTGTGGTAACTCTTGTCACAGAAAGCAGTTACTGCATTTGCTGTGTCTCAAAGCTAAATGTCTTGGCCATTTTATTTGCATTATCAAAAGCAATTGGGCCACATTAACTGCATACCAAACTTTATTGAATCAAGTTGTTTTCGATCGTTATAAGCAAAAAAAAAAAACATTGTAAAGTTTTTTGGGTTTTGTTTTCTTTTTTTTTTTTTTTTACATTTGTAGAACTAAAATGCTGTACATTTAAAAATTAAAAGAAACTTGCTAGGCTGAGGCTTTGTATTGCAAATTCTTACAACTTGGAAACTACCTACCAAACATTGCAAAACAGATACCACATTGATAGTGATGTAAATGGTCTGCCTACCTTTATCTGCTGTTACTTAGGAGTTTTCTCTTTGGATGGAACTGGAGCCTATTCTTCTGACTGTTTTGCAGTGTTCATTGGTTGATAATGCTGTGTTTCATACGAACCTGAATGAAGGTACTTTGCCATAGACACCTCTGTTCCAATACTCTTTACTCTTAAGTGCATCTGTCATCTTAGAGGTGCTCTGTAGGAGAAGGTTCTTTTGTCAGAGCTTGTAAGCACAGCCTCATGGTGGAAGACTTCAGGTCACTACGTGGATTCTCGGTAAGCCAAAGGGAGTTCTAGATAAAAGTGTGGTTTTTCTAGAGCACTACAATCGTTTGCTGTTCCTGTTGTCTCCTCTGTGCTTGATGCAGCAAAGGCTAGGAAGAAAGATTTCATATTAGAGGTAATCACCTGAAGGCTTTATATGACACTTGTTCAACAGATACTAGAATGTTCTATAAAGAATAGAAATAAGAAAAAACTGAGGTGAAGGTGAAATTCTCTGGCTGCAGTAGACTAGAAAGCTAGTGCTGGTATAAAGCATACATTTCTGAGTATCAGGAAAGTGCTGTCTGGAAGACACCTCATCACCTTGGATTCTGTCTTTGAACTTTTTACTTTTGTTTTTGATCTTAAGAAACCTTTTGACTGCAAGTGAATGAGCTGGAGCCTCCAAATATGAATATCAGTGTACATTAGCTGGGGCTTCACACCACACATTTCAGTAATGATCCCATTATGAAAAAATTAAGTATAGGGTCTGTTCCAAAATTACTTAGTCATATTCAGATCATAATTGGTTAGGGTTGTTCTCCCACAAGCGGATTTTACCAAGCATTTTTCTTCCCATTATCTCGACTCTGCTTAAATTACCACTTTTTAGTAAAATAATGCATTTTTTCCTGTTTCTCCTAAAGCATTTGGCTATATGGCACTCCTAATCAGAGTGTTCCAGAATCTGCTGTACCTTTAGTAAATTGTGAAATTTTACACTCAAAATATTTAGTTAACTTCTCTGTAATCACTTTCAAATGGGAGTAAGGAAAACAACATATTTAGTCCAATCTATCAGGCTTGTAACTATTGTGCTAACAACTGAGACAGTGATCTTGTTTCTTTTCAGAATTTAGCACGTTATTATTCCAGCCTCTTAAATCATATAGCCAGTGTTCTGCAAGTAGGGATGCCCTTGAGCCACGGCTTGGAAGTGCAGAGGAAGGAGTTTGATCCTAAGGGATCTGCTTTAGTAACTTGTAAGGGAGGGCAATTCCCAAGGAGACAGGGGATGTGATGTGGCAGAACGAGCCACTGAATTGCAGTGCAGTTCAGTCTGGTTCATTTGGATCTTTTTTAATACCTGCCCATCCCACTTCCAAACGCAGAGCATACAGGCTCAAAGGAAGTAGCTGAGGAGTTTGGAAACCATATTCTGCAAATATTTATGTTCATTTTCCAGTAGTCCAGCTTGTAAATAAGATCAGCAGAGACCAGACAGTGTAGGCAATGCATTTTTTTCTTCACCAAAGAAAATGTCCTCTCTGCTTGTCCTTCCTTCCACGTCTAGAGTCTGACAGTCTCCAGTCTTTGTGGTGTTGTTTTCTGGTATTGGAAAGAAAGCTGTCATTACTGTTCTCTCAAATTTCAAAGCCTTAAGCCAACCTCTAAATTTTAACAGCTTTTGCACTGCTTTCCTTCAGGCCTTTTCTTATTCTTACATACAGCCGCACTTAATAGGGGCTCTTGTCAAAAGGACAGTGTGCTGCCCTTCTTTGAAGAGGTGCAATAAAGCCTCTTTTGTTTCAATGCCCTGTGAAGAAACCTGAAGAGTGGCTTTGTGGACCTCCTGCACAGGAAACCTGCCAAGTGACTCCTTTTCCAGTGCTGTGTTCTCAAGCTTAAAGTTTGCTGCTCAAGTCTCCTCTTTTAAGTAACAAGTCACATTCTGAAGCTGGTGTACAAGAAGGAAGGTAGTCCATGTTCATCCAGGAATTTTGTGGTATTACCTGCTTTCTTAAATGGGTCACAGACAAACTGCATCACATAGAAGTTAAAGGGGAATAATGAAATTGGTCAGGGAATTTTTTGAAAGCAGAATATTTTACTTAGTAGAAAGTCCTGACTACCCAAAGAAAGAAACGTGACTTTTCATGATCCATCATTCTTGGTTTCAGGATGGAGATCTTAAAGAAAAGAAGGATTTGGGCAAAATTTATTTTTGGGAATGCTGGGCCTGTAGGATAGCTAAAATGTGCCTACAGAATGAGAAGCAGCCTGGATTCACTGCAATACCTGTTTGTTCCACGATATTAAAATACATTCCCATAACTTCATTGTTGTTTTGTTTTAGGATATAGACAGCCGATACATCCTTAGGAAGAATTCTCTCTGAGGGGACTCAGGTGGGGAATCTGGAGTCAGTAGGGTAGCTATTCTTGCTCTGGCCAAATTTTAGTACCATACATCAAGAGTTAAATGCAGCTGTGCTCGGAGTTCCACTGAAATTACTGTTACCTAAGGATCAAACCAAAATTCCGTTCTAACCCAGTGATCAAAGTTAAAAATAGTTTTATTCTGTCCTAGTGTATAGAGACAAATGGTGGAGTTTCCAAAAGTGCCTAACTGCAGGAAGGGACTGGATGTGTGTATACCACTTCACTAATCTTGTTCTGTGAAGCAATCACATAATTGTTTGCTGCTTTTATTTTGAAATTCTGCAGACAGAAACCAACAGAATAAGTGTGAATCAATATAATATCTTCCTTAAGGGCTTCTGTAGTTAAGTGATTTTATTTTGACCACTCCTCTGTTTAAGCTCAGCCAAAGAAATGCTGCTCCAGAGGTGGTGACAAATCTGAAAACACTCAACTTCATCTCTGTGGCTGTGACCTGCTGTATTGTTTCCCTTTGTCTGCTGATTGGATACATACACTTATTTATGCCAGGAACTTCTCAGCAAGAACCTCAACATCCCATGGAATGAGGCTGAGGAAAAAAATTAAGTTGTTAGAGCAAACTAAAATCTCAAGGGTATTAATTTAATCTCTGGATTAGAACTGAATAAAAGCATACAGATTGTGAATAATAATCTAAGAGTGTATTTTATTCTCTGACAAAAGAAATCATTTTGTATACCACTAGCAGTATCCTAAAGCACCAAAATTGTATTTGATTAGAAATGAAAAAATCATAGTGCTTTTAAACTTTACTCATTCTCCCACTTCCAATTTCACAGTGTTTTCTAGCAACCTGCTAATAGAGGATGTTTTAGATTTTAAATGTCCCATATTAATGATGCAGAAAATATCCCTCACAGAGTATGCTTTCAATACTTTCATTCTCTACTACTATTCTTTCATTATCCTTACTGTTTCCAACCAAAAGATAGTCTTCTATGTTTAAATGTCTTTTTTTTTTCTTTCCTTTAGGAGAAGGGAGATTGGCGCTTCCCAGAGAAGGCAATCTCAACCCTGTGTTAAGGGACAAACCCTCCCATACCTGTGATGTCAAAGTCCACATGCAAAATCTGTTTGGGGGCATCTCTACAGACAGTAATCTGTATTCCCCGATTTATCATGGATGCAATCTCCCAAATTGCTGTTCTTACTGTTTTAAAGCCAAGTATGTCACAGTAGGGATATATATTGTGGTCTGATTGCTAAGTATTGCTTTCAGTGTTTTCACACAGTAGCTTGCTTTTAATCAAGATGACTGTTTAGCTCTTGCCTAGAAAAAACAATTGGGAAAGGAAGGTGTCACTGGAAAAATAAATTCACCAGTAGTTTGTTGTAAATAAGATTCAGTATAGCTGTCCTACAAACTGCCACTGCATTTGCCTAAAAAGTTTGTCAATTCCCTTTAAAGCTTGTTAAGTGAATATAGAGGAACTTTGGTATTAAAATGTGGAGCCACTAAGTTACTTTAATTGCTGAAGTGGATAAAAACGTGAAGAGTATGTGCTATTTCAAACTCACAAAGTCTACAGGCGTTTAAATAATTGTGTCTTCTAAGCATTCTTAGCAGTAACTGCTGTGCTTTCTCTTGTACTGTACTAACTTCAAAGGTAACTGTTGTTTCTGGTGAGTGTTTTAACTTCTGTTCCCATGTGCTAAAGGGCTGATGTAGAAATCCAATGGTGATTTTTATTTAAAAGAAAAAAAGGTTATTTAAGAGCTTTTACTATCTAAGCCCTCCCCATTCTGCTGGTCTACAACTGTATGCAGACAGGGAAGATGTACCTAGATTAAAGTGATATTTAAACTGGGTCAAATGCAAACCTCTTGTCGTTCATCAGTCAGTTGGATAGAACTTCATTGATTTTAATGGCCTTTTGCCGCATGCTGAACGTGGTGCATTTTTGTTTAGGCTGGACAGTAAACAAAGCTGGTCCCATTTCAAACAAGCACTGTGCAGAAGCTTACACATACTGCATCTGCAAGCTCTTGAGCCCATGGTCCTCTGGGCTACCCAGGGAGGAAAAGAACCTTGTGGTTCACAGGGGTATTTCCAAATTCCCCGTGAATGCTGCCATTACTTCCTGTTTTCTTGTCTGTCAGAATTTTTTGTTGGCACTTCCTTTTGGGAAGCTGGTTCAGCCTTTAGCATGCTCGCCCCTCCCTTCCTAGTAATAGTTTTGGTTTTATTTCATAAAGATGCTTACTCTCTTCCCCTCCACTTCTCTCCATGAACTTCTCTCCTAAAAGAGTAACATCTCTTAAAGCAGGCAGATTATCTGACTTGTGATGGACAGATTCCTGCATCTGTGAGGTATGTGAAGTATCTTTCCTTCCTTGCAGAGAAACACATTTCAACAAAATGTTCCATGAGGTGTTCTCCCAAACTCAGGAAGAAGTCAGAGAGTGAGCTATACTCACTGTCAGGCTGTGTGGGGCCCTGTGCTCTTCATCTGGCTACCCTGGAGGGTTGTTGTCTTCAGGGCAAAAAATGGTGCTGTTGAAAGATCACTCCGGGTACCACTCTGAAAACAGTTCAGCTTCTAGTAGATGTGTTTTCTCCTCATCCTGTGCTGTCTTCCTTGGAGCCTCCTGATCCCAAGAGGCCAATAGCAAGGCTTGTGGTGCCTTCCTGATCGTGGCTAATAATACTCAGGTGAACTAAACTACTGTTTATCTGTTGAACCACAACATTTCCATCTGAGTTAAACTGAAAAGTCTTGTAACTGTTTGAGTCCTTTTTTGAGTTCTTTCAACATTGCAGTTGAAAAGCTTGTCCCATGTAAAAGGACTAAAACCAGTCAGTTATTTTGCAAGATAAAGAAGGACGTAAACATTTCTAAAGTCACTTTTAAGTTAACATCATATTGGTCTACAATTTCCTTTGTCTTTTTGCTCCATCTCTTTCTGACAGAGTACTGTCTTTCATCAATGCATTGATTTGCTAATAATCAGAGAGAGTAATCCGTAAGCCATCAAAGCTCCCTTCTCCCTCCAAAAATGCTTTCTGTAGTCTAGCCAATTTTGCAAAATTTTACTGCTGTCATACAGCATCAGAAATTGCTGTATCCTCAGTACAAAGCTATTAACAAGGCAGTTGCTCATCTAACAGGCATTTATTGTTTCCACCTTTTAAAAGGTTTATCTGAACTTGGAAATACTGTTAAAACATTCTGATCAATTTCAAGGCAAAATGTCTACAGATGCGTAAAATCAGGAAAGGACTGGGTCCTGCAAAGTGGAGTGCCCTGGCTCACTCTTAAGACTCACTGCAATGGTTGTACCCTAAAAATCTGCAGCATCCCCACAGAAGATTTGTGTTCATCGGAAAACGAATGTTGGGATCTCTCTGTAAGAGTGCTTTGTGTCCCTGGTGATCCACAGCTACTGACCTCTAAACCGGCTGCTGCAAACAGGCACGGAGTTCCTCCTACAGCCACACTGTAGCCATGATCCATTCCTACCATTTTTGAAAGGAAATTCTTTGAGTCTGTAGGAAGAAAAAAAAAAGAACGTCATTTATGTGCAAATAGACCTATTAAACTGGTAAATCTGAACACATCTCCCTGCTCAGTCTCTTTTGCTGAAACTCAGCTGGGTCATTCACAGTCTTCATTTTTTTCTAGTTTTAGCTGCAGGCTAGAAAAAAATCTGGCAGTTTCTTCCTTACTGCCCTTTAATCCATTCTGTGAATTTTGCATTTGGAATTTTTCATATTCCAAAAGACCAGTGTGTATGATTTGGCAGGTGCTCACAAGATTTTTTTTAATGCCCTGTCAGTGTGCTGAGTGTTTTATTTTGATTATCATAGTGCTCCACAGTGAAGTTGCTGACCCAACAGTTCAGAGAAATCTTTTCATGGCTTTCTTCATGCATACCCCTTTTTTAAAAAAAAAAAAAAAATCTATTACAAAATTTTATGCTGGAAAATTCCAGTCTTTATTAGAAATTTCCTGAATATTGGAAGCATCTGGTGCTGGGTTTTTAGTTTAGGTTATTGTGTCGGGAAGTCAGAGGCTGCATCCCAATTAAAATCTGGATTTCTTAATATTCAGTTTTCATTTAAAAATAACCCTGAACATAACAATGTAGCAGTTGGATGCTGGCATGTGAAATATTCAATAATCCCATTATATTAACAAGGTCTCGTTTAGCAATTCAGAACCATTACTTCTTTCATCAAATTTCCCCTTCCTAGAGCAAAGAATGATTCTGTACTGGCATTTGGAAGAAGCTGGAAACATGTCCCTGTGAAGGCTGGCAAATAACACAAAGACATTCTTCAGTTGTGGTACTTCTTTAAAAAATACATGTGAGTAACTGCCTTTTAACCTTTTACCTTTACTTTGGCCACACAGAGTAACTGCTCCTGTGTGACTCATACAGCAAACAGAGGGACACAAGAGCAGAGAGGCTCAGCCCCGCACGCTGTTGCTGCAGCAAACAACCACCCTGTGCAAGAGAAGTGCACAAAAGTCCTGCTCATCAGCCACGCAGCAGAGATTTCACAGGCTGGCTGCTCCAGCCAGCAACACCCCACAGAAGAGGTCCCTCTGTAAGTTAGTAACAAGGAGAACTGGGACTGAGTATGTTCCGACTTCTGCTGCCTCTTGAGGAACTTCCCAAGTTCAATGAGTCCTGCTACAGTGAGCCCTGAGTGAGCTGAAGAACTCATCAAGCTAAAGAGATTTTCAACATCATTCTGCCAAGGAGAATAAAACCCAGTGAAATCAAATAAATTTGACACTAAGCTCTGCTGCAGCTGTTTAACATCCTAGGACTTCCCATTTCCCCTTCCTTGCCAAGCTAGGCAGCACAAATCACATTTACAGTTCCTTTTGCGTTGTACATGTGACATGGGCTTGCAGTGTAACAAGATTAGTTTTCCCTGTAATCCTCTTAAAATGTCCTGCCTTTGATTGTCTTTTCATCTTTTGGTGTTCTGGAACTTGGATTAATGAGATTGAGATTTATTCCACAAGTCCTGTTTGATAAGCTGCTTTCAAGAATTAGTTGCCTACAAACACATTTAATTTGGAAAAAGCATTTTAATGGTAGCTGAATTATGCAGTGTTATGCCAAATACACTACAAGGCCTATATATGTACTTGCAGTATATACTACTAGACAAGGAGGTGAATAAAACAAGATAGGCTTACTTGTTTCAGAGTGTCTAAAACATTGTATCTCAAAAAATGGCTTCTCTAGGCAGATTTGCAACCCTTGGCTGTACTTCTGCAAACTAGCCGACAAATTGACCGTGTGCCTTTTCTTGTTCTCATCACATTTCAAGCACCATCCTTGAACTACCCCTTCCATTGGTACCACAGGACGTATTTACTTCGCAATCAGCTTGATTTGGTGCCCTTGTCACTGAATCCCTGTTTAGTTCGTAGAAGCTTGATACCAAAGTAACAGCAGGTTTGCTGAAGCACGGATGTGACAAGTCACACAACGCTGACACGTCATACAACTCCAAGTGAGTGACTGAACATATACACCCGGTGCTGTGGCATAACCACTATGTATTTTACAAATGTAAAAAGCCAAAGCATGGAGCAATTACATGATTTTGAGCTAGTCTAGACCAGACCTACTTATTGCAGAACTCAGGGTTGCTTAGCTTATGTGTTTAGCCCAAAAGACCACCATGATGATGTAAAACTAGTGTATAGGTTTGTGCCTTCTCCCACCTGTACCCCTGTTAAGAGACACTTAAACTTTGACTCTATTTCAACCCCATCTCTTTAGTTGGCCTTTTTCTAGTAACAAAAGTTCCTACTTTCCCCAGGAGGTGCTGGGAGGGGGGTCATGGGTGCAGAATATTTCTGAATCATAGAGAGGTGCCCCCTGCTATACAGCAGCCACTGCTCAGGGATGAGACGCTGTGCTTGGCTGACCTTTCTGAACATGAATAGACACACGCACTCCGTGCAAGTGCAGGACACTGAAAATACCTTCAATGTGTACTCAAGGATGTCATGTGGCAGGTCTCCACTAGATACGGATGACGGGATTCACACCCATTTCCAAGGTGAATTTATAGCTATAAAATCACTGCACAAGGCAGTACTCGGGTTACAAGCCAGGCTGTTCTCATTCCTTTGCTCTCCATTTCATTCCTCATGTCACTCAGTGGCAAGTTATTTAATGCAACGTAATTTGCTGTGGCCACCTAAAAGCAGAGTAACTGCTGCTGTGACGTGTTCCCCCAACTGTGATAGGCATCCCCAGTGACACAGACCTGAGCTGAAACCACACCAACAGGGAGCCTGAGCTGGGAGAAACATGGTGGTGGGAGCCAACTGGGCTCCTGCTCTGGGCTGAGGTTGATCACAGGCTTGATGTTGCCACTGCATTTGCATATGCCTTTGGACAAGTCACTGAACAGCTCTGAACCTGGAGTTTTTTTCCTTATAAGAAAAAAAAGAAGAGAAAATTAAGATTTCCAAAACCACACTCGCCCATCTTCATATCACAGAACATTCATAGTTGGAAGGGACCTTTGATATCGACTCCAACCACAAATAAAAAACCAACCTAAAAAAAACCCCACACCAAAAAACACACCCACCACACCCACCGACAGACAAAACCCAACAATCTCGGGCACTAGAGCATGCCCTGAAGTGCCATGTCTACACATTTCTTAAGTACTTCCAGGGATGGCGACTCCACCACCTCCCTGGGCAGGCAGTTCCAGTGCCTGACCACCCTCTCAGGAAAGTAATTCTTCCTAATATCTAATATAAACCTCCCCTGCTGCAATTTTAGACTATTTCCTCTGGTCCTGTCATTATTCACTTGGGAGAACAGGTCAACACACACCTCTCTACACCCTCCTTTCAGGGAGTTGTAGAGAGCAATGAGGTCCCCCCTCAGCCTCCTCCAAACTAAACAGGCCCAGTTCCCTCAGCCTCTCCTTGTATGACTTGTTCTCCAGAGCCCTCACCAGCTTGGTGGCTCTGTCCTAGCGAAATACATTAGAGATGCCAATGCCCCAAGCCTGGGGCACCTGCAGCACTTGCCGGGTGTCACTCTCTGCCTGCCCGTCACCTGTCCCCTCACAAGAAGCCCGAGCACAGGAGCCGGATGCGTAGGCCGCCATGAGGGGAACGGGGCCGGGGAAGAGCAGGCCGCCACGAGGGGAACGGCACCAGGGAGCTGCTCCCCGTCCTGCCCGCCACCACGAAATGGCGGCCCCAGGCGGCACCTTACGCCATTCCCCACCGGCTCTGAGCCCCCCCGGAGCGGGGAGCGGACGACTTAAGCCACCAACCCTACCCCGGGAACAGGGTCCCCTCAGCGGGAAGAGACGGTAAGAAGCGGTGGGCAGGGCTAAAAGTTGCCGCCTCAGGCGGATCGACCGGTAGCGCCCAACATGGCGGCGACGGCGGTTCCCGCCCTCCCGCCTCAGCGTGGGCGGGGTCGGGGCGGGCCCCGCCGCCTCTATAAAAGGCCTCGCGCGGGCCTTCTCAGCCTCTTGCTGCGGCGTGGCTGAGGTGGGTACGGTTGGCGAGCTGGGCTCTGGGGGACTTGCCGGGTCTGGGCTTTTCCCCTTTGTCCACTTCGTGGGGGCTCTCCTTGCCTGAGGGGGTTGCTGGCCGCCGCCGGCGTCGCCTCCTTCTCTCCCCTCCCGCTGAGGGAGCGGCCGGGCCGCGTGGGCTGCCGGCATGGCCGCCGCCTCCGCTCGGCCTCGGGAGTCCTGTCCCCAAGAGCTTATCCCGAGGCTCCTGTGGTGTTCCCCAGTGAGCGCCCACCGTTCCCGGGAAGGTCTAGCATCTGTGAGGGACTGGGGACTCGCTGGTGTGGGTGATGACAGTTTTTTCCCCGTCAGAGCGACAGTGTTGATCTTTCGTTGTTCAAGCCAGATCACGTCTGATGCACCAGCGGGAAGCGCCGCGGTGTCCTACGCCTTTGCGGGGCCCGGTGTTAACTATTACCTGTGGTTTTGTCCCCAGGGCAGAGGGTGCTGGGCTCCGGGAGAGCCGATGCCGCGGGAGGGGGGTAGTTGCCGGCTTTACCCCGCCATGCCCGAGCCTCCGGCAGGGGGGATTGGTAAGTCCTTAAAGTGACTATCTCGCTATTTAAAAAAAAGATAAATAAATTCCTTTCTGTTTTCCTAAGAGTGGCTTTTGCAGTGCTTTGCCAGGTTGGTGTCCCGGGGGGCTGGAGAGACGCGTGGGTTTGACCACTGGCCTAGACACGGTGGAGGGTCTCGTCCTGCCGGAGCCTTGCGGCCAGGTGCCTCGTTCCGCTCCTCCTGTGTGCAGGGTCCGGCAGGGTGAGAAACCCGCGGCCTGGGAAGGGCGATGTGTTGCCGACTCCGAGCCGCTGGCAGTGCCCCGTGGCCGGGGACAGGCAGGCTTCCTGCTGCCGCCCTGGCATGGCTGTGGCGGGCCCTGGGCCTGGAGTCCTGCCCTGCTTGTGCCGGTAGGTGAGCAGCAGCGGTCACCACGCGTGTTCGTGGCTGAGCTGTGCCCTCCTCCTGGGGCCTGGCAGCTGCACGGCATTTGCTGCTGCATGTGCGGCCTCCTGCCTTCACCTTGGGGAGGCAGAGCTCTCACATGGCTATAAGGGCTGCTTCTCTAACAGTGCATAACTTGTTGCATCTGCCTGCCTGTTCTTCTGGCTTAGCTGTTTTGTGCTCTGCAGTTTTATCTCTGGACTTTTGTAGTATTTCCACTGTCCCATGTGCTTTTTTAGCATACTAACCTGGCCAGCTCTTTTTGGGAAAGGATTTGCATGTATTCACTCATTGCCCATGGCTCTGCTGGGGGAGGTGGGAGTGCGTGGCACAGTGGCTGTGGGTGTGCAGCCACCTAGCTCCTGGGAACTCGCTGGTGTCAGTGATGACTGAATTCTTTCCCCTTCAGAGCGACAGTGTTGATTTCTCACTGTTCAAGCCAAATGATGTCTGATGCACCAGCGGGGAAGTGCTGCTGTGTCCCACACCCAGGCGGGGCCTTGTGCTGACTCTTCCCTTTGGGTTTACTTGTAGGGTGCTGCACAGGCAGGGTTGAGACTCTTGGAGACTTGACGTGATGGTGTCACTGGCAGTGATAAATTGCGTGATGAGGACAGTTGCCTGGTTTGCTCCACCCAGCCTGAGCCTCCAGCAAATAAGAATGGTAAGTCCTTAAAGTAACTGTTGAGCACTGGTTTAAATTGTAGCTAAAAAAAAAAAAAAAAAAGCAGAGGGAAATAATTTTCTGGAAATGAGTTGATCCCAGAAGTCTTTGTACCTGGAGACCTGACTAACCTGCAAAGTTGAGCATTACCCTAGGTATCATAGAGATGAAAGCACAGAGGTTTTCCTCATGCAGAAGCATTGCATCAAGGTCCTTTGTGCCTTTGCTGGCCGACTTGAGGGAGTGTGAGAGGGTAGCAGACAGATGTTCAGTGTTTGGTGGTGGCCATATGTGTGTATGGCTTTGCCACTTCCTCTGCTATGAGTTCACTTGGTCCTTGCAGACCTGCCAGGGAGGTGGGAGTGTGGCACGGCTGCTGTGGGTGTGCAGTCACCTAGCTCCTGGGAACTCGCTGGTGTCAGTGATGACTGAATTCTTTCCCCTTCAGAGCGACAGTGTTGATTTCTCACTGTTCAAGCCAAATGATGTCTGATGCACCAGCAGGGAAGTGCTGGTGTGTCCCACACTCAGGTGGGGCCTTGTGCTGACTCTTCCCTTTGGGTTTACTTGTAGGGTGCTGCAAAGGCAGGGTTGAGGCTCTTGGAGACCTGATGTGATGGTGTAACTGGCAGCGATGAATTCTGTGATGAGGGCAGTCGCCTGGTTTGCTCCACCGTATCTGCCCCTCTGGCTGAGGAGAATGGTAAGTCTTTGATCCACCTATCTTCACTGGTTTAAATAAATTAAAATAGAGAAAAAAAAAAAAGAGGAGGGAGAACCCACCTTTCTGCTAGGGAGTTATTTCTGCAGTGCTTTGACAGGTTAGTGTCCCTGGAGATTTGACGGATCTGTAGATTTGAGCATTGCAGCAGGGGTCCTTTTATGTGTTGGACCTGAGTATCAACACTTGTTGACATACTTTAACTTCCTTTTACCATCTTTCCTGCAGGGATTTATACCTTGTTAGTTGTTAAGGACCTGAAGATTTTTGAAATACAATTGATTGACTTTTAATACTCAGCTGAAGAGTGTCATGATGGCTTTGGACTTTTTTTTTTCCACCACCATATTGGCAATGCTGATGTAAACCTCTGTTTTAGCCAGATTGACTGGCTAAAATGTCCATAGATTGGAAACCACAGACTGGTTTCCACAGATGTAAGGTGCTTCAGTTCCTCATGGAGTTGTATATTGAGGCTACATACATGTCCCTGCACCTCTATTACAGGGAAACGATGTGTGTGCTGCATGCTTTTGAGGGCGGGCAGCACTGGAGGGTGCTATCTGCACATAGCATAGCACAGTGATTGTGTAACACCATCTGACATGCGTAAAAGACTTGAGGATCAAAAGTGAAAGAATTCTTGCTTTCCAAAGACCTCAAGGAAATGGCAGAGAGCTCTGACAGGTTTCAGTTTAACTTAAAGGGCATAAGCGTAGCTTTTTTTTTGTTTTGCTCCATTTAAGCAGTGTTAAAATAAGGTGCTTCTTGCAGAGTCTGGAAGCTTTTGTTCTTGATCTTATTTTTCACCCCTCTTTCCCTGAATGGGAGGTTCTCAATGCCTCGAGATGTGTGGATGAAAGTCAGCTTCCAGCAATGCGTCTGTTTGCAAGAGAGGGATTGCTTTTGGTGTTCCTTTTCATCCTTTGTTTTATTTATAGGAGATGAAGGATTTGACATCTTCTGAAAACTTGGCTGTTCAAATTTCATTAATGCTCTAGAAAATGTACTAAACAGAACTTTCCTTCATTTAGATAAACAGCTGTTGTCACTGGCTTCATTCAGTCATATCCTTGTGGTGTTGTTTGGCTGCCTGTTGTGCAGCTATCTTATCTCCGAGGAGTCTGAAGTCTCCTTGGTAGCCTGTATCTGTGAAGAGCATAATTGTGTCCTTTCTACATGGCAGTCTTGAATTCAAAAGAAGTGTGAGTGGTCTGTGTCAGATGGTGAAGCTGGTAGAGCTGTCTTGAGTATGTTACTCTGCTCAGTCAGTTCCTCCAGATTTTTACTGAGTACTACTCGAAAAGCTCCCACAATGTAGTTTTAAGAGTGCATCCTGTTTGGAGCGCTTGGCAGTGAAGAAGTTTTTAGTGTTTGCAGAGCAACACTCACTGTCTAATAGTTGGGGGGGTGGATTTGAAAGCTATGTATTTGGGATTTGTGGTAGAGTGGACTGACAATGTTGGCTGTTTTCTTGACAGGTTGAGATTTGTCAGAAGTCCTGGGACCTGCTGTGATTTTGGTGTACTAGCAGAAAGCTGTCTTCTGCTAATGATGTCCTTCTCCATGCTGCTGCCTGTGATCTCTTGTCCAAGCTACAGCATTCACATCACCCTGCAACAGCTCTGGTCTTTTCTCAGAGCTAGCAGGAGTGATAAATTGGTGTCCTGACAACTTACAGAGGGTGTTATATTTTTCTTTCCCTTGGTATGAGGCATTTAACTGTAATGGATTCTGGAACTTGCTGCATGTGTAATGTAATTGGATGCTTTTGTCTGCAAGGGCTGTGTTCACCACCTGACAGCTAATATCCTACTACAGTCATTAAAAGTAAGGAAGCCTCTCCTTGGAGAGCAGTTGTCATGTATGGGAGGATGGCCTTCTGTGTAAGGGGGCAGAGGGGATTCATGTTTTGGCTCTTCCCTGTGATCCAGAAAGCTTTAGTAATGTATCGTTGGCAGCCTGTGAAGCGGGGAAGGGCCATCTTGGATGCTGCAGCACGGTGTGTGTTTCTGTACTGTTTAGAGCCTATTTTTAATAAAATCTGAATACTGAGTGAATTCAGCTGGTGACTGAAATTTTTTTATATGCCTTCTGGATCTCCTAATTGGCTTTGGGAGTTGGATGGCAACAGTGCTTCTGTGTAGTGACTGCTTACATGGAGCTGCCAGCTGCCTCAGGAAAGGGGCATGATCTCATGGCAATATGGTTGAAGTAAAAGTGCTTAGCTGAGGTGTGTGGCTGCTGCTGTGCTGCAGGAAACACCACTAGGGCACAGTTCTCTGTATGGAATAGCTGGGTGCTAAAGGTTGACAACAGGTCGCTCTTCTGGACCAAAGGGAGAGGCAGTCTGCACTTTGCCTCTGAAACAGAGGAGACCTCAGCTTCTTCCTTAAATCCTGCCTGCAGAGTGGCTGGTGTAGAACATAAAATCCGTGGGGATTTTAGGTAGCCTGGTTAAAGGTGTAGATGAGCATGTTTCCAGGTAAATCACTGGCTTAGCAAATTCTTCCACACATGAGTCTTAGAAGTGGCAGCAATTTGGGAAGGAAGGGGAAGCTGATGTCAGCTTGTGTGAGGATTTGGACATTTCCCTTGTGCAGTTCGGCTTGTGTTCAGTGAGCAGGAATGAGACTGCTTCTGGCTGGAGAGGCTTAGTGGCAGATGTTCATTCAGATCCTGGAGCCTTCCCCTGGATGCTGTTTGGCAAACTTCCAGGTTTGCAGAGCAGAATTAAATATGGATAGTACATCTGTGCTGAAGTAGGGAAGCTAAAGGTTTTTCTAACATCAGGAGAGGTAATTTCCTCATACCAGAGAGGTAGTTGTGAGAGCCCTAAGATGTACTGCTTCCTGGACCTCTGACTTCCATATCCCAGATCAATGGGCTGTACACATCTGGCCTCGTGAGAGGTGAAAAAAAGCTATCAAACACACCGGTGCTGTGTGATGTCTGCATGTAGAGGGTTGAATGCTGGTGAGTCTGTTCTGCCCGGGGTGCAAAGGCCTTCTCCATCTGCTGTGCCCATTAGCCTGGCAGTCAGTAGTGGTGTCTGCATGATGCACAGTCAAACAGGCCTTGGCAGATGTCTCATGCAGGTCCTGGTCTGGTAGCACTTGTACACCCCACTGGCAATGCAAATGAAGTAAATAGCCCCTTCAGATCAAGGTGATGTGAAGAATGGGGATATGTATTGACCTGCAGTGTCTCAGACAGCAGGCTCACATTCAAACCCCAGGCCTAATGATGGAAGTAGCTGTTCCTCACGTGCTGCTGTTGGGAAGTAGCACAGCAGGGGTGTCCATGAGGGATGGGGTTAAGAACCAATCCCCCTGCAGCCTCATTAGGTTCCTGAGGAGCAGGGCCACCTGGCAGCTGTTGAAGGTTCCTGTGTTCCTCGTTCTGGGCCTGTAACTGATGGGTCATAGATGCCAACGTTGGGGGGGGTGCTGCTGCCTGAAAGCAGCTGGGTGCACAGGCAGGGGCTGCAGTGAGCTAGCTAGCCTAATGGTGACAATTCTGCTTGAAATAGCTGAAGGGCAGAAGTGAAGTATGGATAACAGGCTGAGGAAATGTTTAAGGAAAGATTTCCTGCACCATTTGAAGTATTGCTGTGGTATTTTTACTGCCTGATAGCAATAGCCTAATTAATACTCTAATGGATTTGAAGTTATTTACAGCAACTACAAGTTTAGAGGGTATTTCTGCTACTTAAAAGTATAAATAACAACTTCAGTGGTTATGGGAAGGGATTTAGTGTCTGAGCTGATAGTGGCCTTCAGCAGGTATGTTTATTAGGAAACAGCAAAGATGGAAAATTAGCTATTAATCGGCATTCAAAGCAGTCTTCCATTAAACTGGGTAGAGATTTTTCTCATTCAATTAATGTAAGCAGCATAATCTCTTGAAACAACATATTGATGAGGGATCAGAACTGCTGCTAATATAATTACTTTCATGATCTAATGAGCATACCAACCAGCAAGTGTACTTCAGGGAATAGAGTGTGCTGGTTGTCCGGTGGGAGCTGTAAGGACAGATGTAGCTGGAATATGTTCTTTGCATGTTTTATTACTGCTCCAAGAAAAGTTGCTCAGCTCGGGATTCAAGCATTGCTGCTATTGCACATGTGCATAGGGATGGAAGGCAGAACTGTCTGAAGATAACTGTCCCACTGGAGGCAACCTGTGAATGCTCTCCAGGGCTAGTTAGATGGAGGGACTGAGCTGCAGATCTCTGACCTGGCAGCTGTAGGGGGTGCTGTGTGCATGTGTTCCCCAAAGCTTAGTAAGGGCCAGATGGAGTTTCTACATCAAACTGCCCGTTTGTTTGAGTTGTTCTCTATGTGTATATAGTCAGGATGCTTTCACTTTGTCACTGTAGCAGTGTGCTATAATAAACATCTGGACCAATTAGCTTATCTGTAAGAACAAGAGTGTGACAAAGTGGGGGCAAACCCTGAAAGTAACATCTGAACTTATCAAAGGCTTTTATTTAGAGGAGCAGAAGTGGAGGGGGTCTTCTGTACTGATAGCTTTTTGCTTCAAAGCTTTCATCTGCTGGAGTTTCTGATGTCTGCAAGTAACTGGGCACCTTAGCTGTGGCTTCATTTCACATCTGTCTCTACGATGTTTTTTCTGGAACTAGTTTGGGTCTAGAGACCATCCCCTGATATTCCCTCTGCACCTTTGCTGCAAATTCCCACGTACCATGCTCAAAAATGTGATTGGGGCTGCCTTTACCAAAAGTCTGGTCATAATTTCAGGAAAAGGAGGATATAAGATAGATGCAGCTGAGAAACACAGGCTGGGGGTTGTGTTCTTTAGTACCATAACATCTTTTTCTCTGTTATATGGGATGTCCTACCTTCTGCTGCTTCTCCAAACACGCTTGGTAATGGAGAGCTGGCTTAGTATGCTGTGACCTCAGGTAATTTTCCTGTAACTTTAAGCTATTCAAAAACTTGAGCTGCAGCAGACTTCCTAGTACAAATGCGCTACAGCCAAGTAATGAAATGGGCCTCCCAGTTAACAAAGAAACCATCAAACAAACTTTATTGTCTATACCAAGCGTGGAGGTAAGATCACCCCACTTGAAAATCTCTTAATATAGTCCTTTAATAAAAGATGAGGGGGCAGGGAGGCTTAATCCTGAGTTTAAAGCAATTTGCAGCTCTTCTCACCTGTCCTTGGTGCTTGTTGTCCTGCTGCTTACCTGACTTCTGCAGGAGCTGGTCAACTCCTGAGTGTGTCTGCTGGGTGTTTTGAATGAGGAGATAAAGGCCATGAGGTATGTTTTGGACAAAGGCTGACTTACAGCTTTTTCTCTGCACAGAGCTCCTGGAGGCCAGCAACGGATAATCACAGCATGTCCAGAGCTCATATTCTGCTGCTGTGAAGTGGCTGAAGGAAGGCAGAATTGTCAGTTCCGTCAATTATAGCAGGAACAGACAATGCATATGTACTTGTGCAGCTTTCTAAAACTGAGATCTGGAGTCACTCACTGGGGTGGTATGTTTAAGCAAATGTTTACTTTTCTCAAACAGCTCTGTTTCTTGGTGCCATGAGCATTTGAGAGGAAAATAGCACAGATTATTCCTCTGTCTGATGTTGCTTTTAATAGACGTGTTTTCATACACAGTGAGAGGTTTAACATTTATATTCCCAGACATCTTTTTGACTGCATGGTGATTATTATATTTTTTTTAGACTCATCTATTAAACAGCTGTATTAGCTTACGGGATAGCACAGTCCATTTACACATTGCTGTTTGTACTCTTTGCATTATTTCCTCTGCCTCCATTTCTGCTCAGTGATAGATTAAGTTATGTGACACATCAGCTGTGTTGACACTCTACATGTAATCATAGAATCGTCTGGGTTGGAAGGGACCTTGAAGACTGAGTCCAGCCATTAACTTACCACTGCCAAAACCACCACTAAACCATGCCCCACAGCACCACGTCTACCCATCTTTTAAATACCTCCAGGGATGGAGGGTGGGTAATGGAGAGCAATGAAGCAAAACTTGCTTTTATGATCACCGTAGGAAGGTCCAGATTTCAGGAGACTCAGACTGTCCCGCAGGCAGTAAAGGGAAGATGTTTTTTGAAGCAGAGGGTTTCTTTCTCCTGCAGCATCCAGTGTTTTACGAAGATGTTTTGCAGCTATAGGCTTCTGTTCCTCTTCCACCCTTTTAGCCAGATCCCTTGCAGTGGTGGGGTGAAGCCAAGTGTCTTGGTTCAGCCTCAGTCTCTCTTGGCACTGTGGGAACTGCTGGTTTGTGTTACAGCACCTGGGGCTCCCAGGCACTTTCCTCCCAAGCGTTGGGTACAGGGTGCATATGGGGCTAAGGCCTTTTGGCTCTGCACTGGCTGTCTTCTGGCAGCCTTCACCTTGCAAAAAACTGCAAATTCTTTGTACTAGACCATATTCACAGTGTAAATCAAAGCAATTCTATTATACTCCCTAAGATTGATTTGCGTTCATGGAATCAAATTCAGGACTACTGTTACCTGAGAATCTGCCTGATTTCTTTAGTGTTATATTTAGAAAAATGTCCACTGGATAGTTCACACTTCACTGTGTCTGTCGCTTGCTCTGTTCAGTTTTGAATGCTTTGGCTGGGTCACCTTGAAGTCTTCCTTCTAGTGCTGAGAATAAGCTTGACTTCCTTAGCCTTCTCTCAAAGCAAATATTTAAGTAATGGGCTGTCCTTATTTCTCTACTTTGCACGCTCCCTTTTGTTCATGTAACCTTCCTCAGCAAGGATGTCCAGGGTCAGGGAGGTTTTTGGACATGTGGTCTCAGTGTTGACCAGCTGAAGCAGCAAGGCATGTTTTCCATCTCAACCAGATGGCAGGTGTCCTTCCAATGGCCTGAGGAGGTTCAGCTGGTGCATGAGGGTGGTAGGTGAGCAGATGCAGCCCAATGTGGTGCTGCTTGCCCAGATGGGTTCCCTGAAAGCTGTTCTCTGAAGGTGGGGTGGTCTGTCAGCACCCAGGGGCTGGCCTGGAGTAACACACGCGTTCTCTGCTCCACACATGCTCGCGTTTCCCAC